AAACCAGCCCTCAGTTACTTTTTAATATTCATGTGCTACCACAGGGGATGGCTTGTACAATATAATGCAGTCCAATCCAATTACCATGCAAATTTGTTCACACAGTGGACAAAATAACAGAAACACTTCACAGCATAATGCATCACTACCGCAAACTGTGGCCTCAGAACTCACCTGCGTTAAATCAACACTTTCTGAAACAATTGCAGCAAAGACTGAACTGCAAACTTCACAATAGAAGAATAGAAGGTTCATATGAGGCTGCACTAAATTATAAACGTGTTTATGTTGGTGAGTGCAACCCCTGTAGATATGACTGCCATAAAATATGCAGGACATATATGTTAGGTTGTACATGAGAAAATTTTATTAGTAACCCTCAAAACACAGTGTGTTCTGTGTTGTAACAGTTTGTCTTTTTGTGTTCCTCGTGGACTCAAAAGGATAGAAAATGCCTTGCAGGAAGATCCTGGAGAATATTGTCAGAGTCAAAATTGGGGTATGACATGCACAAAGAGAATGTTTTCAGAGTCTGACCCGTGAGACTGCACAAGTCAGGATGGGATTTCACCATTCATGCTGCTGCAGCTCTAATACAAAATGCCTGCAATGATATTCTATTCTGTTACTTTAGCTTTCCAGATAAATGCTTAGGCTAAGACAAGCGCTTTAAAAATTTAAGATGTAAAGTTAATTATATTAATCGGTGAAATGTTTGTGAGGTCATGTGGCATTTTTTCTACTGGCAAAGTAGGAAAACAACCAATGAATAATTTCAGGAACAAACACAGAGTCCCATTTAGTATTAGAAGTCTATAAAGAAACAAGATTTGAAAATGCCATCATAAAAGGGGTCCACACTGTCTATGGGGTCGGATGACTTATTTTTCTTTCTGTGTGATATTAGAGAGTTCAAACAACAGAGAAATAACAGAAAAATCAGTTTGAACAGAATGTGCCCCTAGAAGGTTTCTGCAAGGCAATTCGTAAAAAAAAAAAAAAAAAAACTCCACACATTTGATTAAACATAAACAAACATAAATGTTAAGAGGTGAACTTTCTATAACCCATGCTGAGTCAGTGTCCTGCAAATTCGAGACAACAATACATGTACTCTTTGTTGTTTTTGAAGAGAGGTAGCCTGTGGTTTTAAGGAACAGTCAACTCCTGCAGGTTTGAATGCCTGGGGCTCACAGTATGGAACCTGATCCTTTTTAGACCAGCTAGTTGTATTTGTCTAGGATGGTGAGACACTGTCCTCCATAACCATAGCCTCCTATATACTGTAAAGGCTTAATTTCTAAGAGTTCGAGAGGCTGCAGGAGTTACACACGGCGGACCCCTCCAATACTGTCTTGAATGATTCTCGCCTCAGATCTGACCTACAGAAGTGTGTGCATAAGGAAACTGCTTTCTCACTTTTCCGACTCAGAAGATAACATTTTGAACTAAGGTAGGGAAGATGTTGGCACACAGGATAAGGCATATTGAGAACAAGACAGTGTATCCAAACGGTTTGAGGTGAGAATGGATCATGTATCATGTAGCCAGTATAAATCATTTCAGAGAATTTCATTCTAAACTGTATACTTCTGACAATACAGCAAGTACAGCCGAACAAGCCTTCTTCAGGGGCCTTATCTCCCCTTGATTAACATAGTTGATAACTTTAACCGAATTAGAAACTGCAATAATGAAAATGGCAACACTGAAAACCGCAATTTCAAATTAAACGTGATGCAGACAATATATTGTTATCAACCCTACCGGCAGTATTATTATATACAGTGGATTCTGTTGGTAAGATATCTGGCTATTGGATACTTCAGTAAGAGTGAAGGTCATTTCTCTGAACCTAGGCACTTCTTTCATATGGAAATTTAATGGAATTAAATATTTCTTGATCAGAACATGACTTAGGCCTTATAAAGGCATCCTCCTTGCAAGGTACAGTGGCCAATATTAACCTGCACCTAATGCCTACTGCCCTGCCCAACATGCATGGGAACTGGATCTGTTTTCCTGCCTGACTAGTAAACCCTGGGAAAAGTTTACAAATCTGTAAATGAAGTCCCCTAAATGTGTAAGATAAGGTAATTCAGCATAAAGTGTTGCAGTTTTCTGCTTTTATACAGATATTATTTTTTTTGGTTTGTAGGACATTTAGAAGGAACAAATCCTTATCATACAGCAGGTAAGGGCTGCAACATTTTGTCAAAACATCTGCCTATAACAATGTAAGATACAAGATGCACATAAGATAGCTTTGGAGTAACATTTGTACCTTTCACTGCATTGGAGACACAGAGTTTAGCATTGTTTTCTTTTTTTTAAAGGCACACTATGCAATATTTTAACTTAATATAATAGCTTCGAAGTCATTTCGATGGTAAACAAACTCATAGTATAGCGAATCATCCCAATAGCAAAGCAGGAGAGGGACGCCGTTGGCAGAACCAGCAATGCAAGTCTGAAAGGTGGCGTCCCGCCAAATCTCGCGAGAATCACAAATTGCTTTACGGCGCGATGTCACATACATCAGCAGCATAAGAAGCAGCCTCAATGGAAGACACTAGCAGGCATTCACTCAGACGTTACCTGGTCAGTAGACATCTTCAGGGTGTCTATCTTTGCCTGTTCGATGTCCGACGCTTCCATCCTACTGAAAATATACCAGTATACAGGGGGGAGGGGATCAGGCTGTGAGTGCAGAGACGCAGAGCCGTATATAGAGACGGCTCTGGTGAGTGGTATTTACGACAGTTCACATTAAATACAAGTACTCGGCAGTGACTCTAGGTGTAGCTGTGTGACAAAACCAGAAAACTGCATAGTATGCCTTTAAATAAATATGCAGTGATTTGGAAAAACCCAGAAGGTCATTTAACAACACTTACAGCTGTTCCGAAATTATTAACACAATCCCCAAAGACTCTTCTAACCATCTGGATAAAAAAGACATTTTGTCTGTTTTTACTAACCAGGTAGGCAGAAATGATATATCTCCTTGCTTATTTTGTGTGACACAGGAAAAATATAAAAATTTGATTCTATATAAAATATAAAGAATGCAAAAATAATGCAATATAGACTCAAATATACCTGACAATATAACATTGTTTGTTGTAGAAATTGTGCACCAACAAATGTCATTCCTTGCTACCATCTCTGTTTGGATTAACAGTACATGTGCAAGTTGGGAAACACGTTGTATGTTATCAGTGACCTGATGGTAATACAGGAGAGAACAACTGGGGCTAGTTTTGTAGCTTGTAGCTTATCTTTTTTTTCATTTGACAGAGGCTTCCAATTAGCAAAGATTCCTGAGTCAAACTGATTGGAATATTTACTCACTGTGATTCATAAAGATCATTGGTACCTAAATCAGGCTGTCTTAGTGCTGCACTCTGGCATTAGCAAAGGAGAGGGGAAGATGTGTGTGTGTGGTGGCCCTGTTGTTAGGCCCAGCGGAGAGCAGAGTGTGCTGATATTCTTTTTGTCATTATAGTTTTTCATCTTTATGCGTAACACTGGCAGTGACTGGTTCCAATGCAGATCTTTGGGACCCAAAGTGCCACTTGTTTTTATATTGTACAAGGTAATTAAAATCATTCTCCTGGTATCTTGTGTCTATTCAGTCCTCATTAAAAAGCTTGAATGAAGTACCCAAGCCCCCAAGAACCAGAGCAGGGAAACACTAGTAGAAATGACATTAATACAGAATCCACCGCCAGTTCTCATTTACGAAAGTGGTTAAGATAAGTTCATGAGGTGGGGAAACAATCCACCAGAAATGTACAGATACTCAATCTAAAAGGAGCAAAACGCAGGGATATCTGGTGAAGGGGAGTGTGTGAGTATTTCTTATGAAGTACTTCCTTCTCTGAGTCCCACAGGAACTGCATTACTTTTAAAATCACCTTAGAGCACTGACTTCCATTTATCATGGCGATTCACAATTGGCCCACAGGGTGAGCAGCAGTCAACCATAAATCTAGAAATGTCAGATAAGGCAGCATATACAGCACTTCTCTTACCAATTATGTCTTAGTAAGCTCTGATACATGAACTAGTTATACTCAAAGCAAAGACGGGGATCATGAAGCAGTCTGAATATCCAACTGATCTTAGCAACCGCTGCAGCTATCAGCAGGGCCTAAAAATGATCAGGTTTCCGAAATCTTTCCATCCCAGGCTGGATGGAGCTTAGTTATGCTTCCTTTTTGTATGCTGAGCAGTCTGTAAGGATTCCCTTGCATTGATAATCCCAAATCCTGGTGTAGATCTTGGGCCTATATATAAAGGATGAAGCTGAAATAAGAGGATCACGACATGGTATCGCTTCAAGGCAACAGCAGGAAACACGGAGAATGGAGCGTAACAGCTTTGTTTCCCCACTGAGACTTCTGCAACTTCACAAGTGATCCATAATCATCTTGTGTTGATGTGACAGTTTGTATACAACAGGGGAAGGAAGGAGGACCAGAAGGGAAAGATGTCAACATAAGCATACTGATACAGAGCCAAGTTGCATATTAAGACATGACAAGGTATGTTGGTGTCTGTGATCACCGTCCAGGATGCCTCAAGTCTCCAGGAGGACCTGGAGGGGCGTTTGCTTGTAAAGAGCGCCATCTGGTGGCACATAGAATCTGACTTCTTTGGGTGGAGCAAGAGTCAGGGGTTTAGGGTGGGCAGGACCTCCGTACGCATGAGCCCCACAAACCATCAAGCTTAATGGCTGACAAAGAAAGCGTGTCATGCGTTTCATTGTGAGGAGCGAAGCCGCATAACTGGAAGTTGTTGGCCTTTTTTTTGTGTGTGATTGGCGTTTCTTTAAGAAGGTAAGCCGTTAAAAGTTTAATTATTTGACACGTTCTATGAAATTAAAGTTGTTTCTAAAGAAAAAAAAAAAAAAAGGCATACTTGTTAGGCTGTGGACTATTTGATAAAGTGGGGGAAAAAGGTAAGAGCGTCTGAGCCAGGCTGCAGACAGCAGTCGATAAGGAAGCGGTGGTCTGAAAGGAGGAAGGAACCGTCCGGCTGATGCAATGTTTCCTGATGACTACTGTGGATTACTTTTCTCATTATACTGGCGGGCTTTTGGAGAGGAAAGATCTTCACTGGCGATACTCTGTTAAGAAGTGAATTCCAAGTAGTTTTGTGTGTGAAAGAGCCTGAGCTGGGAGCATGAGGGGAAACATTGCCTTTTATAGCGTCTCATTCACCAGTGTCATTTGCACCAGTGGTGTGGCTGAACTCATTTGAACCCACACTGTAAGTAAATGCAACAAATCAATTCTTGCACATTTTTAGTGTGCAAGAATTGTTTAATGAAGTTTAATGAAGTTGTTTAGGCTTTAGATGTGAAGAAAAGAAAGACAGGATGTTAGTGTGGATAGATAATGAGGAGTTGGATTTAGTTTCTGTTTTGCACCCTGGAAATGCATTTAATCAGTGAAGCTGTGAATGTTGGGATATATTCACCTAAATTTAATGAATAGCTCAAAATATCTTTTTGATATTATTTTTAAGCAGGCCTACGGTTGCATAGATCTTGGCCCAGTTTGGTATGTTTTGATCAGTTCACAAACTCTGTAGGCAATGTGACATGAAGTTTAGCATGAATCATGTAGAGATAAAAAGAAAACTAAATCAGATGAATTGGTTCAGTTTGGTTTTACATTCTTTTCAAGTCTGTCATAAAACAGCATTCACATGCCCACGTTGACAAGTTTTATTGGCCGCTGTGGTCATCCCTACTGTCCTAATGCAAGACAGGGACATCTACAGTTCATCCAATACAAAGCGCCACAAGGCTGAGCTAGTCAAAGCAAATGGGTGTCTCCCAAAGCTGCTGTGCTTTTAGTACAACATTCCTTATTCATGCTACCATAGGTCAGCAAGCAAGCACTACATGAAGAAACAAAACAAAAAAGACCTAAATATACCAGGTTTACTGAAGCAGGCTAAGAAACACTATTTAATCTAAGAAAGTAGTGCCATGATTAATTGCTGACCGTGATAAAACATACACTTTCCACATCTGATGTAAAATTCCACACCACAAGTTTGATTTTCCTAAAGGTCATTACTGCATCTAGTCAGTCCATCATTAAAGAATGGGGCAAAATCTCAAATTTAGCCAATTAGGCATGAAAATTGCTTTAAAAATATGTAAATTAATCCAAACAAGCGTCGGAGCATTTTAAATACACAGTCCAATAAGTGTGAATGTGTTCATTTTTTAGATGGTGTTTTGGAGCAGTATTACTGGCACAGTGCCAGTCAGTGGTCAGACACAGACAGACTGTTCCTGCATTAACTATTGGAACGCTTGGGTGTGAAGATATAAAGTTTATTTTATTAAGATTATTCTGTATTTGGTGTCACTGTGAGCTATAACAGGGGGACTGTTTGTGACCCTGCCCCCACCCCCCCAGCCCACCCCCCGCCCGGCTTTAAACATGGGTGTCTACGTCTCACAATCTACATCATGAATGATACTATTATTGGCTGTACTGTGTGTGTGTGTGTGTGTGTGTGTGTGTGTGTGTGTTGTGTGTGTGTGTGTTTGAGCGCTATACAGACTGAAATAGATATTTTGTACTAATGTTTAGTATGTAAGCTATAGACGTTTCCTAGCCAATCCCTTCAATAACATTGCAATGTCCCAAAACACACGCTTCATCAACGGCTACATCATGAAAAGGATCCATTTAGTTTCACTTCTGAGTTGTTATTTCATTTTTGTTCCTGTTTTCAAGAGACACTATGCGTGTGCTCACAACCCGCTACCGTATGAACATCTCAGCTAACCTCAGAAAACACTGAAAGCTGTTGTTCCTTTTCTAATGGATGGGTGTTGTTACATTCTGCCCTTGGTAGCTACAAGGTCGATGCGGCTCTGGAGGTGTCACTAAGGCTTAAATCCCTGGAAAGGAAAGTGTGTTTGGCTTGTGTAAGCTGTCTGTTTTATGATCGCCCTCACATGGCACTTTGTTTGCTCCATCCCCAGTTACACCATAACAGCAGGTGGGCTTTTTGTAGTGCTGCGAAATACCCTTCACATGCCAAGTGGGAACTCAGCGTTCCCTGAATTGGCTCTCTGCCGTCGTCTTCTTTTAAATTCATGCATGGAAAATTGTAATTAAAGACAGTCAGCAGCTTTTCTCAAATTAGTGTTAGAAATATGTCAAGTTGCACACTCAAATTCTTAGATAATTTGTTTTTCCGGACACAGGTGGTTCTGCAGGTGTCTGTCAGTTCTATGTAATGGATCCAACATTTGCAGCATCATTTGAATACAGCCAACACAGATAGGCAGGTTCCAGTATTAAACCTTGACTGAGTGCAAGGCAACTACATTTGAATTTTCTTTTTTATTTGAATGTTATCTTTAACATTTATTTATTTGGAAACTGAATGACTGGAAATGTAATTTCTTTGTAGCCCCATAGAAACCTCTGTAATACTATATCTAAAATACCATTATCATCTCTATGTCAGCCCCACCGATATCTGGGCCAATTGGCTTGTAGTTTTAGGTTATTCTGATTTAATCCGATTTTTGCTCTGATCTCGTATATATTATATCAAAGTTCTGTTTGATTTCTTATCGTGACTCTGCTGTCTTCTCTGTGTATATAAACAAAGTCACAGCTCACCTAAAAGACATTTGAAGGAGCAAAAGTATTTTCCCTCAGGCCAAATAGTGAAGAGCATGTGACTGACTGCTACTCCAAATTCACCCACATGCCCCCTGTGTGTCATGAGCAGGTGTTGAGTTCAGTGATTGGCTGAGAAGAGGGCAGGGCCCTATCCTGCCCACCCTCCTTTTTTTAGCTCAGCCACTGCATGTCACATCTCGTGCATGCTACAGTATGCCACCGCGCTGAGTTCTGAACCACTGGCTGTCCTCGGCCCTTTTGCCCGGGCTGCGATGTAACAAATGTTCTTGCTTGTGCAACATATAAGTACATATTGTTTCATGTTTCAGGTACACATTCGTTCACACTTATTCATCAGGGATGTTTTGGCTTCTGCGTGTTGGTCTAATCAAACTGTTGGCCCAATGAAGCTACAACTTTTGGCTCAGTTAGTCCTTGAATGTTCTGCACACATCCTCACTTCATGATATGCAGCAGGAATACCCTTCTATGTATATTCACAAAGCATCGATTTATTTAAGCTTTTTTAATTGAATTCCTAATACGGGACACATTTCTGACCCTACATCAGGTATTTCTTTTATCTAAAATAACCATTGCCTTTGTAAGACCATAAAAGTGTATAACCAGGTCATATTTGTCCAGCCGTCTTGTATTCATGACTTGACTATAATAAGTAGAGCCTGCCAGAGTCACTCAGCTGGTCTTGCTCGTGGGGAATATGGCTGTCGTCACAGCTGCTCTGAGTGTCTTGAGCCCGAAGGGCATGTCATGTGTCACTGTTCTATTTGAGAGCTGGACACCTGAATGGTTTGTACACTAAGAGGTGTCTGTGTCACGTGTCAAACCAGCACTTGTAAACGTCTCTCTCAGTTCTATTCAACTGAACATACCTGGAAATTAGTCTGCAGTTGCACTCTGGAGAAAGCGGTCGAGCAGATTTATAAACCGAAAAAAAGAGTAACTGTGTCAGTGAAGATAGAAGATCCTGTTTTGTATTGTGTTGTGAAAGTGAGTACTTGTTCCTCCGCATTGTCTTGCTTGTCCGCTTTATCTATATCTGTCTCGCTTGTGCTGTGTCAGAAGAAGCTTTGAAATTGGATCTTGGATTGTCAGGATTCTGCTCTGTCGAATACAGTATTTACAAAGGATCAAAATGTAATTGTAGTTACGAATCTTTTTTGCCTCTGATTGGTTGTTTTCATTCAGACACAGTGGAGTCTTGCAAATGCCATTAGGAGTACCATGAGGAGCCAGAGGAAGATGATTGTTTTCCACAGATTATCTGTCTCATGTACTAATAGTGACAGAAAGTAAGCCTTGTTGTTTCCTTGAAAACAAAGGACCGGAGAGTGTTTATTACATTGGGTTAAGGCCCAGAATGATGTAAACTACACCAGTCGTAACATTCAGTGACACTCTTCAAATGCTCATAGCATGTCTTCTATCACTGAACCGAAAATGCAAGTAGATTGAGGTGTATTTGTTCTAAAAAAAGAATCAGCACTTAATTATTTGTTTGCTATTATGTCTTCAAATCAAAGTTAGAAGCACAAGCAACAAAGCGTTTCCTGATATGAGACTGGAACAGCACTATGGTCTTTTGTCTGTTTACCAATGCATAGTAAACTCATTGCTCTGGCGTTCCTGTCTTTCTTTGTCAACAGGTAAATCATCTCCTGTAAAACCTTGGGTGCAGGGTGCCAGCCAGGATGATTCTGGCGACATTAAAGGGCATTGGGAAGCAGCTCCTGCGGGTGAAGGTTGTAGACTGTAACGCAGAAGACTCCCACTTCTCTCGATGCCTCAACACGTTTGACCTGGTGGCCCTGGGTGTCGGCAGTACGCTGGGCGCTGGAGTCTACGTGCTGGCTGGCGCTGTAGCCCGAGAGAGTTCTGGACCCGCCATCGTCCTCTCCTTCCTCATCGCTGCCCTTGCCTCAGTGCTGGCTGGCCTGTGCTACGCCGAGTTCGGAGCCCGTGTACCCAAAACTGGCTCGGCTTACCTCTATAGCTATGTGACAGTTGGTGAACTGTGGGCCTTCATCACAGGGTGGAACCTCATCCTCTCTTATATCATTGGTAAGACACTCACCTAAATAAGGAAAGGAGTTGTCTGCTATACTAGATATTGTTCCATCAATACTTTGCTCTGCACAGGAACTTCAAGTGTGGCCAGAGCATGGAGCGCAACCTTTGATGAGCTGATTGGAAAGCACATTGAGGAATTCTACAGACAACACATGACCATGGAAGCCCCGGGTATCCTGGCAGAGTATCCAGACATATTTGCTGTCTTCATCATAATAACTCTGACAGGTGAGGAGCAGCTCGGAAATATCTTGCTTGTATTTTATCTAGTTTTTACCCTTCTTTCATAGGCTTTCAACTTTCATAGTGTTTTTTTTTTTTTTTCACTGCTTGCAGGACTTCTCGCATTTGGAGTGAAAGAGTCAGCCATGGTAAATAAAGTATTCACCTGCATCAATGTACTTGTGCTGCTGTTTGTGATCATCTCTGGCCTGGTCAAAGGAGACCGGAAAAACTGGAACTTGAACCCTAATGAAATCCTCAATGGCACCAGCAACTCTAGCCTTAAGTGGGTGAAATGAAAAGCTTATTCCCAAATTGCATAATGTGGCAAATGACATGCCAGAGTTGTGTTTCTAATAAGCAAATGTTTTCTTTCTTGTTACTTCCAGTGTGTCTGTTCCCCTACCATCAAAAGAGAGTCTTGGTGAAGGCGGCTTCATGCCGTTTGGCTTGTCTGGAGTCCTCTCTGGTGCTGCCACCTGTTTTTATGCCTTTGTAGGGTTCGACTGTATCGCTACCACAGGTGAGAAGGAATACATTCAATTGATAATCAACACACACGACTCCTTCCCTCTGACATCTCCAGTCATGTTTCCTCCGCAGGAGAAGAAGTGAAGAATCCTCAGAGGGCCATTCCTATCGGAATTGTGGCCTCGCTCCTCATCTGCTTTGTGGCGTACTTTGGCGTGTCCGCGGCCCTCACTGTGATGATGCCTTACTACCTGCTGGACAAGAACAGCCCACTGCCAGTGGCCTTTAAATATGTGGGCTGGGAGGGAGCCAATTATGCGGTGGCCATTGGCTCTTTATGTGCCTTGTCAACCAGGTAAGGTCCTACCGTCTCTCATCATGAGAAGTTGGCAGACAATATTTACTATAGATTATGTAACCTAAGTTAATTTGCAGTGCTTGACCTTGTATGTGGACACCCTTGTCCTATTCTTATTATTTTGGTCTGGGGCTGTTTTAATGGTTTCGGCTAATGCTACAAGAAACAATATATTAGACAGCAAGTGTTCTTTTAACTTTGTGGCAACAGTCCCGTTATATTTTCTAACTGTGTGCATTCACTTGCACGGCATGCTTTTTTTTGTCTCTCTCCCGTACTAGTTTACTAGGCTCCATGTTCCCAATGCCCAGAGTGATCTGGGCCATGGCAGAAGATGGCCTGCTCTTCAAATGTTTGGCTAAAATCAACCCACGAACCAAAACCCCTCTAACAGCTACCATAACATCCGGTGTTGTGGCAGGTGAGGTCATGACCTAAACCTACTAACTGGTTGGGGTTCCTTTAAGAACACTGCAAGACACTCTTGGTGCACATGGCCTCAACACAAGCACAAGCCACGATTGGTCATAAAGCATGATATTGTTTTTCAAATTTCTCCTTCTTCGGTCACAGCCGTGTACAAAGCTGACACAGCGACATCCTGAGTACAGCAACCTGCGTAGTTTTATCTTGGGCTGAGAACGGATGCAGTTGAGGCCTTGTGTGAAACCAGAGTTGACAAACTTTAAAAAGTTAAAAATCTCTGCCTCCTCCTCCTCCTTCTTCCTTCATCTATGGCTTAGTCTCCTTGGCTCCATGTTTCCACTTCCACGCATTATCTTTGCTATGGCTCGCGATGGTCTGCTCTTCTCGTTTCTGGCACGTGTCAGCGAGCGGAAGACGCCTATCATCTCCACCTTGGTGTCAGGGCTTATGTCTGGTAGGTAGCTGAGATGAGGCCAAAAGCAACAGTGCCCTCTTGTGGAAGGAGGATGGTGGCAAGTTGTAAATAAATGGAGCTGTACAATAACAGAAAATGATGTATTTATAGAATGAATTAAATAAAAACATTATATTGCATTATATTGTGAATGTGCTTAGAAGATGTGTGTTGTCTTGCTGATGTCTATTTTTCTCCTGCTTTCTCTTATTTTCCTCCAGCTGTGATGGCTTTCCTGTTTGACTTGAAGGACCTAGTTGACCTCATGTCCATTGGCACTTTGCTGGCCTATACTCTGGTGGCTGCGTGTGTGCTCGTCCTCAGGTATTCCTCATCACTCACCGTAGTTTAATCCCGACCACACTCTAGGGAATTACCAGCCTGAATAACAAACTTATTTATATGTACTGCAAAGGAAATCCCAGAGTCTAGTCAGACCAGTCAGTCCAGATGTGTGTGCGAGTGATACTCAACACGCTCAGTTTCCATTTTTATACTTAATGACTGATCTGAACTGCCTCAATTATATCAAACATGGAGTGTTTGCAAACACTGGACCACGCTTCAGGATGTGAATGAGAAACATCTATTAAAGCTCTCATGATGAATGTGATGCAGTGTGTTTTTTAAACTTTGTTAGGCTTGAAGTTTCTAAATGTGGTTTTGACTGTCTGTTTTGCCGTCTGAAGGTACCAGCCAGAACACCCCAGTATGGCCTATGAGATGGCCAACACTCAGGAAGAACCTGAAAATCCGGAGTCTTATAACGAGGGGAGCATTGATATGTTACCACAACCAGAGGATCGCTTCACCATCAAGAATCTACTTTACCCTTCAAACACAGAGCCATCCGCTCTGTCCGGATTCGCCGTCAACATTTGCACCAGCATACTCGGTGAGACGCATACAAAGATCTCAGAGAAAACTGGATGCAAGTCCCTGAATGATTCACCTGGTTGCTAATACAGAACATCATCTGATGCCCTATGTTTACTGTCTTCTATTTCCCTCCAGGTGTTTTGGTGTTTGTCTTCAGTGTTGTAGCTGTTCACGGAGGGCTGGCACCCTGGTCGCTGTCTGTCCTCTCTATTATCTTCTTGGTTTGTCTGATTCTCACTTTCATTGTGTGGAGACAGCCGCAGAGCAAGACCAAGCTTGCCTTCAAGGTAGAGTGTGTTCTTTCACCAAACACTCCTCGCACTGTTTCAGTCCCACGTACAATATGACATTGTCAGAGTGTGATAAGCGTGATGTGTAAATCATTCTGCAAGTTTCTCCTGTATACTTAAAGGTTTAACAAAATGCCCAGTTTTATTGTAGCTTATACGAGTGCTGTAAAATACAGACATAGTGAGCAGTGAAGGGCAGGGCAGTATTTGCTCTTCAGAGTTATTTATCCTTACCTGTTAAATGACTACACATCTTTCAGCCCAATAAATACAAATTATAATTATAATTAATAATTTTTGGTTGCACTCAGAAAACACGACACAGATGTGCGTTTCCTCTGGAAAAGGTGTTTTAGACTTTGGGTGCTGAAGCAATGTCTTATTGAAAATAAATTTTGATTGTTGGGGATTTCCCTGTAACATTACCCACTCAGCCATTATTTATAAGGTCCATGTCACCCATCACTATGCTCTGAGTGTATATTTTCTTAATATCTAAGGTTGTAATGTAATTGCCTATTAAATCTTCTCACAGGTTCCCCTGCTGCCCTTTCTCCCAGTCGCTAGTTTGTTCATCAACGTCTATCTGATGATGCAGCTCGACAAAGGAACCTGGATGCGCTTTTCCATCTGGATGGCCTTAGGTATATTGGACAACAATTTCAGTTATTATCTCTGTTGTACTTATCTTTTGGAGATGAATTAATGTCTTTGCCACAATGTTTCTCCATCATTTGTAGGTTTCCTTATCTACTTCAGCTACGGTTTTCGCAACAGTGCAGAGGCAGTGATGACCAGGTCTGATTCCTACACGCCAGCTTGCACAATAAAGGGAGAACCCATGGCCACGGAGAAGGAAGCTTTTCTACACAACACACAAAATGCCAACCTAGATGACGATGAAGATTCCTGAGGAAACGGGAGGTTTACTAATCCGTTCTGCATATCAAACATCGATGTGTTAAATTGTTTTAAATGGCTACAAATCCAGGAGACATATGAAGCCTTTTATGCGCCCCACAGAGCGTAGAGTTGTTTCTCAATTCTGCTAAAAGAAATTGTCTAATTTGGCTGTTTCACGTAAAAAAGTCGAATTAGATCTAAAGACGAAGTAAAAACCAGAATAGACAATATTAATTTCCATACATCTGTAAACCAAGATTTTATTCCAGAAAACGTTTTTATTTTCCAGTTCAAAAGTATTTTTTATGATATTATCAATTTTACTAAAGTGTACAGACGGAAACCAAACAAAAAGCAAAGCACAAGTTGTTTTATCAACGTTTTACCACGGCATATGTTGTACATCTTTGTGTGGTTTTTTTTGGCAAATTTGAATGCTTTTAAGCGATATCTTGGTAAATGTTTGTCAGTCGTCATGCTGCCTTAAGAGATACAGTGCCAGCTACTGTGTCCTGAACCCATTAGAGAGACATCCCTTTATTCCACAATTTAAATAATAATACCTTTCGAACCTAGCTAAGAATTGAATTGTATCCTCAGTTTTGTATTGTAGGGTTACCTCCAAGGTACAACTTTGAATGTAGATACTTTGCTCCTGAGAAAAAGTACCGTATAGAAATCCCAACTCTGGACCTGTTTGTTTATTTACAGTATAACTCAGAGAAATGCACCAGGCTGCTCAGTGTAATCTGGTACAATCATTTGTGAACAGTATATCTGTGTGAAAGGGTTGATGTTATGTGGATGTGTCCTATAGCTGATTGATGGTTTCCTCACGTTTACCAGAGATCAAATACACCAGTGTTGTCATCATCAGGGACCTGCACTTTTTTTTAATCTAGCCAAAGAAAAAAAGCTGCTAATGTGAATTGATTTATAAGATACTTTAAAGGATGTATTTTAAGTGCCTATGTCCCAAAGGAATATTACACCTTTTTAGAGGTATGATATCACCAGCTAGAATTGTGAAATATACATATTGTCTGTATATAATTGTACACTTTGGATTTTGAAAAGCCTATATTTAAAATCTATGAGAGAAATTTCACCTCGGTGGACCATTTTCACTTTTTAGTTGACATGCATCGGAATGGGATGAAGTATAATCAGTTGGTGATATTGAACTCCCGAGCACTCACTGTTGTTTTATTCTTGCACGAACAAGCAGTAATGTATGTTAAAGTGCCTTAGCCAGTCAGCTAAAATCTGAAAGCGACATGTCAAAATATGTGCGTTCACTAAAGACTGAAAATGCAACAAGGTGAAAAGTCTCTGTACTAAATCCCTTTATGAAAACGCAATATTTTCTCTTTTTTGCTATTTATGTTCCATCGAGAGAATCTATTGATGTGACCTGAAGCCAAATTCTGTTTAATTGGATTGTGTGTCAAAACAATGTTGCTATTTATTGAGTTGCTGTAGATTTTTCTAACTATGGCATTGGAGTTGCCTTCAAGTTAAAAATACTAGACAGCTTTGTAAATAAACAGAGTGTATGTAATTTTGTTGCATTTTAAGATATCGAAGCAACATTGTCAAATGCGATAGTGCTGCAGAAAGTTACTGTTTTCCGCCCATGAACTTGTAAATGCCATGCATTAAAGCAACTAGCCTTTATTTAAACAGGGAGATGTTTGAATCGGTGGGACATTACGAATGTTGTTCTTTACATGCATCATTGCCTGTTTTAGAAATGCCAGTCATCGTTTTATGTCTGTGTTTTTTTTGTTTTGTTTTTGTAAATAGTTTGGATTTTTCTTAAAAGTTACTGCCTACGTTACAACTTTCACTTAAGCATATCAACCACCAGCATTAATCTATAAAATCTATTGTTTCAAGCGATATGTAAAACACTAACACAAACTGTGCCAACAGTATTGGAGCTGTTAACAGTTGTGATATATTTGTTTGACAGATCGAAGTAGCCATTCATTATGTGAGCAATGTCACGGAGCACTAGTTCCAGTGATGTTTGCTTTGGTTATGGATTCTGTATTCTGTCCTATCACACTCATTTGAGGCTTCATCCACACTAATGAAATTACAAATACTAAGTTTTGTCCATGACAGTTTTATGTAAACATTTTCATGCTGCACCATTTTAAAGTTTTAGTACTTCAAAACTTTCTAAAGCTTGAAAAATAAATATTTAGATTTTTGTAGTAGAGGCGTTTTTAGTGTATCTGAGTGGTGAATGTCAGGTATTAAGCATGTGTTGTCTGAATGTTGGTTAAGGGTTTGTATAGTTTCTGCTGTAAATAAATAAGGCTCAAAGTTAAAGCCACAACCTTTGTCTTTTAATTTTTTGGAGAAGTTGTGCACCCCCTGCCAGCGTGTTACATAAATGATTTGCATGGCATAGCTGATTGTTTTTTTTCTCCAGTGTTTTTTAGTATGTGTTCAGAATTGTTTTATTTATAAGTCATGAACATATCTTACTGTATCTCTAAGTAATGTTTGGATACATGGAACACCTGGATTTGCTTCATTTGTGTTTTTTTTTTTTTTTTTTGAACACATCGTTTTCTTTCGAAAAACAGCATATAGTTTACACAAATAGTAAAAAAAATGTTTTTTTTTATAGACAAAACTAAAAACTAAACAGAAACAAAACAAAAAACCCCAAAAGCAAAATAGATAAGACAATAAAGGGGCTAGACAATTGTATAAGCATAAGTCCATAAGATATTGATGACTGCTTGTAGCAGTATATTGTTCCTGGATACATGAATATATAATATTGGGGGACAATAACAAAAAAAAAAAACTGCTGTACAGTACAAAGGTTACACGCAGGTTATTTGCATTCAGGAAGAAAAAAAGGAAATAAAGGTAAAAAATGTAGTCAGGTCACAGTATCGCCTCCTATATGAGGTTCAATATCAATTTTCCACATACTCAATAAAAGGGAAGACAGGTTCTCTTATATATTTTAAGTGATGGTTTTGTTTGTTGTGTTGTCCCTTCATTGTGTACACAGTCTGACAGGCCCTACTGTATGTTACTGTATGTAGCCCTCAATAATTGATAAAGGGAACATAAATGGATAGTTTCACCTGCAGGGGGCGACCTGAGCCCTTGTTGGCATGGGCGTTGAGTCTCCTCTCCTCTCCTCTCCTCTCCTCTCCTCTCCTCCCTGTTTTCCAGCGATGCTGCAGACTGTATCCTCTTCCTCACGGCTCAACCTGGATGTGTCCCTGCTGCTTCTCCTCTTCACTGTCGAGCTCTTCTCCAGCGGATTACCTGAAACTGAACGGTAATAATCTGCATTCCACAGCGGGGGACGGAGGCTCGGTTTCTGTCTCTGTCCCTGTCCATCTCCATCTCAGATCAGCGGCAGTGATCATTGGATTTATTGACACTGCTGCATCTGCTGGAGAGACTGCGGATGATCCTCTGGTCGGAGGTATTTTATTTTATTAACGTTGTTTTTTTTAAAGTCATTGGTTAATTGTGTCCAGTTGTGCAAGTTCTGATGTAGCTGTTGCATGAAGTCAACCTGTAAAAGGTAACCTCGCTATAGGTGGACTCACCTCAGTGTGTGTTGTGTGTGTGTGTACGTACGTAGTGGGGTCAGATCCTGGAGTGTGTGTTCTTTCACCTCTATTTAATGTTTGTTTTTCAGTGTTTGTCCTAAAAGCAAAGCCTACTTGTTTCTTCCTCTTTGGGGATCATGTGTGTAGATGCACTTTATATTTAGAAGCTGTAAAATGAGGAACATGAGCTGAATGAACATCAGTAACAGTGAACTGACAGATTTCTGCTGGGGTGGTTTTAGTGACCCCAGTTATCCAAAAGGCCTCATTTTTGTTACATTATGTAAGGTGTGACAGAAGTACAGAGGACCACTGAGGCCTCAGTCATGTATCGCTAAATGCTTGGTGATTATAATGAATGGTGTTGCTATTACATACTTGTGCCTTTGCATAGGAAAATTTTACATTTGTATGCCACATTTTTCTGGCATGTATGCTAATTTTGCACCAAGTTTGCATTTACTGTAGAGGCACACACTTCCACTGCTGTTCCAATTTGCTTAAGTCACAACAACAGATCTTCTGTGAGCTTTGGTTGGTTACACAAAGAAGTCAGGGCCACTGAAGCATTAAAATCAGAGGGAGAGCGATGCCTCCATTTTCATTCTTCCTCAATATTTCATGAGGATTCCAGCTTAAGCATCAAGTGAAGCTTGGTGGACAAATGAAGGCCTTGGTCTGTGCTCTGCTTCAGATACAAAAAACTGAGCTTCAACCAAGTCGCTTGAGCTCACACACTCACACAAGCCCTCGTGCAAGGATGCACAGATTTCATAAGAGGCCCTGATGAAGGTCTCGCCATCATGCATGCTGCATATCAGGAGGCAGGTGGCGGGGTGAGTTGCTGAACAATGGGGGGATGGGGGAACATGCTCAGGGAAGCATGTTGTTGGGGCGAGCATACATTTCCTCAATCTCTCTTGTGCCATGATGGTGTCACCACAGGAACATTATCAGCTGTTGCAGCAGCAGGAATAGCATGAGAGGAAAACAGCCAGGGAACGTAAATTAAGAAGAAAAGATGCAAAGGGATGGAAGTGACAGGGCCAATGCAGGAATGAGCCCAGAACACTGACATGTACAGTATGCGCTGTGTGGGTGGAAATGGGAAATGGGGTGGTAAAGGAGGTGAAGAATATCACTTCAGTCACTCAGGGTACTTGCACTGCACTTTTCCAGTCAGTGAGACTAGCAGCACCCTGCCCCGACTGTGACGCTCAGCTCTCCGGAGATTTGTGAAGAGAAAGAGGTTGAAATAAATTAAAATGTTTAATTATCTCTGCAGTGCTTTTATTTCATCCAGGATGGGAGAGTGTGAAGCAGAAAATTATAAAATCCACAGTGAGAACAATGTGAACTTAACTCACTGAAGTAGGGCAGGAGGTAAAGGTAAAAGCTTTAGGTGTAATTGTTTTTAGATTTCTGAGAGACGTTAGATCTTAGGATTAGTTTAACTTTCAGTTGTGTTTTTTGTCATTTGTGGTGCCAGGTGGACTCTCTGTCCCCGAGTTGTTTTTTTATACGTCAGAGCAAACAAAAAAACTTCCAAACTAGTGAGCCATATACTTCATGTTACACCTTTTTGATGAGTGTCATATGATGTACAGTACTGTTGTGTCTGTACGGTGGTCTGCGCTGCATTGATTTTGAGTTGCAAATCAATCTAAGGGCTGCAGCACAAAAAGTCCTGTTAGCAGATTGCAGCTTCTCCCTTGAAACAAGACATAATTTATCCAATTTCCCATCTCTTGTCATGCTTGTCAGGCAACATGCTCCATGTATGAATCTTTATCAGAGTTTCATCAGATGTTTGGTTACCCAGAGGGAGTTTGTGGCTTTATGTAGCTGAACAGTAACCATAAAGTGTTGTTGAGAGGTGGGGTAGAGGCAGGTGTAAGGGAATCTGATTCATTGGTCTCTGCAGTGCAGGTGCTGAGACAGCATTTCATGTAGTGTGTTAGCCTGTACTTCAAACAGACAATGCAGTCTTTGGACCCTCTCTGCATTTGTTGTGTATTGGAAGTGTCCGTCCAGAAATATATAAAGAAAGAAAACATAGTATCTATTTTTTGTAGCTAATCGTGTTTTCCCTCCTTGTCCTAAACATGCAGCAAACTCTATTATCACACAGCAGCACATTTTTTTCATAAGGAGGGAAATGAGATGCTACTTCCTGCTGTGTAAGTGAATTTAAAACATAAATGGGGAGCAAAGAGACGAGGTGGAGCTGTAGTCAGTTAATCTGCGTCTGAGTCTTACAAGGGCAAACAGAGAATACACCAGTTTTGCTCTGCTTTCGTCCCAAGACGTCCCAAGATAGGTTTGTGTTTCACTCTTTCATTTTCAGTCCTTTTCACATCCCTTTTAGCAACAAGTAGCACTGTATTCCTAACCTAATATGATATTACCTAGTAAAATATCTTTCTTCTGTTTGTGTGACTTTGTGGCTCAGTTATGTATACTTAAGTGGAAGAAAATGAGGATGACATCCAGTGACAGCAGGGGTTCTTTTTTTTTTACTTGGGAGGTTAATTTATGATACCTAGCTGAACTTGACAATCAGAGCCGAATAATGGCAAGAATATGGCAAGGTGGGAACTTAATGTGCAGATATTTTTGTGAGAAAGAATTGCTGCTTGAGATCAGAGGTTCTGTTGAAGCTCTCTGTACTGTAGAGTCCTCTCAGGAAATAGGTCAGTTGCAGACATCCTTTATTGTGTGCTTTAGGCTGAAGACATGAAGGGAAACAGGTCTCCTCCCAATTATAGTAGAGCCTAAATTATAGACGCTGAATAGTAGAACAAGTGAACATACCTACTGGCTGCTAACAATCACTGGGTTGGTATAGCAATTATTAAATGCAGCTCTTTTAATTAGTAACACCAACCATACCATGGTACAATGAGCACAAAAACCTTACATTTAATTGGATAGTCTTAAGCTTGATAACTTCCCCGATAATGATCTCAGCAGTCCAAGTAAGTCCCACATGATACTGAAATATTTTTTCCACACTTAAACATCAGTATAGTTTTGTCTTTCCTCATGACTTTGGGTGTGCAGAGATCACTTGATTTGTGGCTAATAGTGGATTCTGTTTGCAAAGGTTTCTGTCACATTAAACAGTCTTTAACGTATTAATGTAAATTCAAATAAAATTCAAATTCAGGTAAGGTAAGTGTATTGGAAAGAATGCGATATAATACGTACGTACTGGGGTTGCAACTTAATATATTGCAATATATTGCAATACTGTAAGCAAGGTGATATATTGTGAATTTGTCAGTGGGATCTGCATTTGTATTTATCAAAGTCCCTGTACCATCCCTAGTAGTACTCCTAGTGCTGCTGCTCCTAGTATATTTTTATATGTAAACACTATAAATGTGAACCCATTCATAACTAATGTAGGAGCAAACAGACTTAATGGCCACCTGTTTACCCTACAGCACAGCATGTTGTCATCATGCCACAACCACACAGCTCCTCTGCAGGGATAACAAAAAGCTGCTTCTTTTCATGTCAAACAGTGACGTGCTATTGTATCATTCATTATGGACTGTTGACTGGGCCTATATGTTCTGGGCTTGGTAAAGTTTCATGTATTTACTGAGTATTTCAGCTGTGAATGGAAAAGTAAGCAATGACTGATGCAGAGGGAAAATGCTAAGGATTACAGAAAATTACAGTTGACGGAGAATGTAAATGATCTTGTTCGGACAAAGTTGTTTGTGTCATGAGACCATTCACAGTTTTAAGGAGGCAATCTCAGAAAAGAATAAAACAACTTGATGGAATTTCCTTTTTTAATTCAACTTCAGAAGCTTGCCTTTTGAAAGAGCATGGCACAGCAGAGAAGATAATGATTATGTGCTTTTCCCAGGGGTTCTCCTAAAGATTCTGGCCATCCTGTAGTAATAGTTTATTAAATGCTCTGAAACAAAATTAAAGTAATTAAATTAATCTAATCATAGCATGTTTCATGTCTAAAACAAATGACTCATTGATGATTCATCAGATTGTACAAGAGTTTACACCTGTTAAATACTTTCTTGTCAAGTCATCTGTCATTTTCTTATCTTTTCTTTTTATAAAGGATAAGGACCCCAGACGTCATGAAGATCCATCCTCCAAATTAGACATGATATTCAACATTCTGATAACTGGCATACTAGAAGGAAATGTGAAAATCAATTCCAGTCCCCTGCTGTGCCACTAAGACTCTTTGATGGGTAGGCAGACTTTTTTGTAATTGATGCCATGGATGATTGATTTTTAAAGTGCTCTTGAGGGCGCTGTAAACTCAGAGCTGTTTCCAAAATGTGTGAGCGAGGAGAGCCCTTCGGTGAGGGAGAGTTAAGGAACAACAATCAGCAGGGTGGAGTGCTGGCTGATGGTGATGCGAACGCCAATGATATCCGAACAGAGGATGGAGGGAGGACGGGAGACACCGTCACTCTGTCGGGACTGATGACTGAAACAGCTGAGCAGGACAAAGTCATCATCTGGGGTACAGACTCCCAGTGTGACGACCCAGATCTAGCTGAGTTTGAGATGCTGGAGTGTCAGGAGATGGAGGCCTACCTGGTTGAGGATGGAGAGGACTTCGTCGGGCTTGCAGACCGGAAGGAACTTCAAGAACAGCCTTCATCATGTGGTAAAGCCACAGAAGAACAGGCAACAGATAATAAGAGCAGAGAAGAGAGAATGTCTATTCTGCACGGTGCAAGTGAGCAGGAAACCAGTGCCTCACATGAGAGCAGAGAGGCATCCAGGACTGAGTTAAGCTCAGAAACGGATGTCTTTGTGACCTGTCTGTCCACTATTTCAAGCATGGACACTGCTATAGACACTGCGGGCAGGACCCAGACAACAGAGTCCTGGCACCTTGCCTCTGGTCCTTACTCAACCATCTCAGAGGACCTGACTCTGGTTTCCCAGTCTTGCAACAGAGCTGATCAGCCTTCCATCTCTGAAAAAAGCACAATACACCAGAAAGATGTGGACATGAATTTGAATTCAACAGTTCACTCAGAGGATGTGGTATCACAGGCGCAAGTGAACAATGGAGTTGTTCCATTTAAGGATGGCATTGATGACTGCAGGAAGAACAATAACCAGAGAAATAAAGCAGGGAATACCATTTCAGAGCAGGACTGTGATCAAGGGAGAAGTACTGAGCACAAGGGTGTACCCACTGCAAAAATATCATATGAAGAAAGCAACACTAAAATGGATAAAAGCACACAAGCTGATGAGGCCCCTGATGTGAACTACAGCCCACACAAAACAGGTACAAAAGGGACTCAGTCATCAATTGAATCCAAAGCCATAAAGAAACAAGGATCATTTGATAACACACTGAAAAAACAAAACTCGTTTGACAAGAGTTTTAAAAAGCAGCCATCATTTGAGAACACCTTCAAAAAGCAGGGCTCTTTTGAGAACCCCGTCACCTCCAGCTCTTCAAGTCTGGAGAGGAGGAAGCCATGGGGAAGCCCTAGTCGACCAGCATATCCTTCTTCCCCTAAAACTACCTCCTGTTCCCCCAAGAGAAGACCGCCTGGTTCTCCAGCGAAGGTCCAGGGCATCAGGGCACTGAGCTTGGAGCGCAGCCAGTCCCCTCAGAGAGGTTTAAGTCAAACAGTCAAAATGCCAGGTAAGACAAGTTTGAGCAGTGGCATCCCCAAACCTGTAATTCCTCAGCAGAAAGAGCCTGAACCCAGGAGGTCTTCTCCTCCCCAGAAGCCTAAAAATGTCCGACCAAAAATCATCACCTATGTGCGAAAGAACCCTCAAGCAATAGCACAAGGTACAGATGCCCCACTCGAAGCCTCCACACTCCCAGTAAGACTATCTTCTTACTCTAGTCCGGCAGCTCACAAAGACCTAAAGGTTGGTCCTCAGCCTAAATCCACAACGGCACTATGCTCCTCCAACCTGCTGTTTGACAAATATCGACAGGAGATGCAGAAGGCGGGGTACTGTCCACCAGGCATGGCTGCAACTGGTGTGAAACCTCCAAGCAGCACCATCCCTCAAAGGCTGAGTGGGAAGTCGGACAGTTTTCATGAGGATATGCCTGAGAAATATCACCAAGAGGTGAGAAATTGACTTTTGATTTGATATACTAACATTTAGAGCTGCAAGGATTAGTAGATTGATTATTTATAAAGTTAATCAATCAATCAATTAAAACTATTTTGATTAAATCATGATGCCAAATGATGATGATATGAGAAAGAAGTTACTTATTGTGCTATAAAAAAAAACTGTTGATCAGTTGAAATATTTGTGGTGATGACACTGTATTTGTAATCTCCCTCACCAGCATGTTTCCCAGGAGGGTGGCAGTGTCTACCGCTCACCCAGAGCTCTGAGGCCTCAGCTGGGGTTAGGAGCGGTCACCAGGCAGCCTGCAGCACGGACAAGAGTTCAGCAGACAGGTCAAAGGTCAGCACCGGCCCCAAGCCATTCTGTTCAGGCAGCTGGAGTATCCACCCAAAGCTATCAGGACCCTGCAGGTGAGATGGTGATCTGCTAACATATTCAGTTCAAAGCGAAATTCTACTGAGATTTTAGTCAAAGCGTTCAATTCAATTCAATTCAATTCAATTTTATTTGTATAGTGCCAATTCATAACAGAAGTTATCTCAGGACACTTTTCAAATAGAGCAGGTCTAGATCAAACTCCTTATAACATTATTTACAGAGACCCAACAGTACCACCATGAGCAACCACTTGGCAACAAGGGCTTGGAAAAACTGCCAGTTAAAAGGCAGAAACCTAGGACAGGTCCTTCGGCTCTAGGTGGGTGGTCGTCTGTCTCGACCAGTTGGGGTGAGAGAGAGAGAGAGAGAGAGAGAGAGAGAGAGAGAGAGAGAGACAGACAGACAGACAGACAGAGACAGAGAGAGATACAGACAGACAGACAGACAGACAGACAGGTGCCCAGCAACAACAGTGTTGGTAATGGCAATCTAGCAGGACCATGGCAGGAGGCTCCACCAGGATCGATAAGAACCTGCGAGACGAGAAAGCACAAGAACTCCGGGGAAGAAGTGAAGTTAGTAACATGCATTAATGGGACATGAATGAGTGCAGAAAGAGAGAGAGAGGAAGAGATAGTAGATATCCCCCGATAGTCTAGGCCTATAGCAACATAACTAGGGGATGGTTCAGGACTCACCTGATCCAGCCCTAACTATAAGCTTTATCAAAGAGCAATGTCTACTCTTAAATGTGGAGAGGGTGTCTGCCTCCCGAACCACAACTGGAAGCTGATTCCACAGGAGAGGAGCTTGGTAACTGAAGGCTCTGGCTCCTGTTCTACTTTTAGAGACTATAGGAACCACAAGTAGCCCAGCATTCAGAGAACGTAGTGTTCTAGAGGGGTAATAGGGTACTATGAGCTCTTTAAGATATGAAGGGGCCTGACCATGAAGAGCTTTATAGGTGAGGAGGAGAATTTTAAATTCTATTCTAAATTTTACAAGGAGCCAGTGCAGAGAAGCTAGTACAGGAGAGATGTGATCTCTTTTTCTAGTTCCTGTAAGTACTCGTGCTGCAGCGTTTTGAATTAATTGGAGCGTTTTAATGGACTTATTGGGGCAACCTGATAATACAGAGTTGCAGTAATCCAGCCTAGAAGTAACAAATGCATGGATTAGTTTTTCTGCATCTGTCTGTGATAGGATGTATCTAATTTTTGTAATATTACGTAAATGAAAGAAGGCAGTCCTAGAGGTCTGCTTCATGTGGGAATTAAATGACAAATTCTGATCAAAGATAACTTCAAGATTCCTGACAGTGGTGCTAGAGGCCAAGGTAATGCCATCTAGAGTAACTATATCTTTAGACAGTGAGTCTCTAAGATTTTTGGGGCCAAGTACAAGAATTTCGTTTTTTTTTTGTTTAACATCATGACAGTTGTCAACTGTTCAGTTCAGCTAAGAGAACACAAGAGCATAGATGAAATGCTGTATACTTATGTGCTTATTTTGTAAACCATATAGACCATTGCGGGAAAGACCATTTTATGAGAGCTTTCTCACCTGTCTGCATACTTTGCTATTCTGTGAGCATTCCATCCCCTTGTTGCCGAGCTGCAGAGAAGTTATCTTTTTATGCTTGCTGAATGATTTACCAATTTTTTTCCCCTGTCATGCTTATGGATGAGGCTTGGCTTTTGGCACCTGAACTCTTTGAAGTGCAGAGCAATTCATAGCAATGTAACTCACACATCCCAGCAACTTGCACCGCACTACCTGCTCACATTATAAGTCAGAATCTAGTCAGCCTCCACATATGGTGCTATCTTATTTATGTGCAGTTTCATCACTGAATGGAAGTTGTTTTTCATTTATGTGTGTCATCTTGTGACATGAATCCTCTTTTTACTCATCAGAGTGACTCCTTTTGCCTGCAAATCCCAGCAGTGTCTTAGTAGTGTAATTAGTGGTATATGTTGTTGTATTAGTTCAGGGGTAGGCAACCTGCAGCTCCAGAGTCACTTCAACCCCTCTCCCATGGCTCCCTGTGGCTTTGACAAAAAGTTATATGGAAATGAAGAATAAAACAGAATTCCATTAGCTACAATTGCAAATTGTAATGTCGTTTATGGAATCTAGTTCAAAGATTAGATTTTATAAGATCATATTTCTTTTTTACTCCTATCTCTACATTCTTTATTTGCAGGTTTAGCATGAGAATGTAACATAGAAACAGAAAGGCAGTGGGCTTTATCTCATTAGGTCTTGGAATTTCACCCACAGTGCTCCTGTATGATTGCATATTTTTCCCATCTACCTCCAGGAGAGCAAAAGAGGTCAGGCGAAAGAGGTCCAGAAACCAACCCCAAGAGCCTCCTGCTCAAACAGGGCCAGTCCGGTCTCCGTCCTCCAGGCTTCTCCGCCCTGCCAACTGCCCGTCTGGCTGCCTTTGGCTTCGTCCGGAGTTCCAGTGTCTCGTCTGTGTCCAGCAACCAGTCTAACGACAGCAGTCACAGTGATCCCTGCCGACCTTCTCAGCGTGAGTCACTCTATCACCACACATTTTATATGAATTATGATATACCGTTTTTATTTTAGCTTAAAATACTGAAAAGAGTCCCAGACAAAATTATTTCAGACCTCAGACAGACAGTGTCTGATTAAAAGGATATTCGACATGTATGTTTTATCACCACTACATCTCCTTATTAGTTCACCAGTAGTTGTGGTTGCCCCTGCTATCCTCAGTTACTATAGTAACAGCCACTCACTTCCTTTCATTTTTCATTCATTTATCACAAGTAGGAGCTGAAAGCTGCAGCACCACAGGGGCTTTGATGAAGAAATCTTTAAGTCGCTCTCCTCCCTCTGCTCTCTCTCCTCAGCCTGCACACTGCAGCATTTTGTCTGGATCAGATCCCGGTGCCCAGTCCGACGCCACCTTTCATAAGCTTCTTGCTGCCTTCATTCACAGAAATCAATGCTAGTAAAATTCCTTTGAAAAGCTCATTATCTCTGCGTGGAATAGAGATGAGAAATGTGTCAGAACAAGCTGAGAAGTTGTCAGATAAGACTAATGTATTACAGAGAAAGCATTTATAAGGAGTGTATGTTCTGTTCCAGCATGGAGCTACTGCAGATTCATTTTTCCATAGTGCTGACTCACACCAACCATTGTCTGAAAAATGCTTAGACATACTGTAAAAAAAATCCTGTTTCCCTTCTTGTGTTTTTATATTTATCCCATGGTCCTGTTTGATTGAGTCACAAATATTACACCTTAAACAGCTGGACTGAATAAATCTTTACTTTTTTGGCAGTCTTTTTTACCATAAATATAAATTGATCACAAGCAGATCAAATTAATTCAAACCCATCAAAATGTCCAAGTACGTTGATTGCCAGAATCAATAATCTCATGGTGTACAAGTTACCATTTCTTCCGTATGCACAGATAAACATGTCTCTGTGGCATCTGTACTGGCTGTGTAGATATGAGGATGGCTTAATGCTGTCCTCGCTCAAGTGTCACCACATTTGCTCCAGTTTCAGACAGCTGACGGCTGCCTTTCCCTACTCCCCACTTTTATGTCTTATTCTGACCTGCTGGATTCAGACGCTGGTATAGAAAACAGCTGTTGTCTCATGAAGGGTGCCCCCCCAACCTCAATCGCAGTAACTGCTTCACATGTCAGCAGCAATCTCTTCTTGCCTATTTATAATCTCTGAAATGACAAAGTGGTGCCGGTGGCTGCGGTGTGTGTTGAAAAGAGAGTGTCAGGGTGGGATATGACAGGATAATCTGTGAGGCTGTTTTTACCCCGACACATCTGACCACCCCCTTTTCTTGCCTGTGGATCTCCTCAAACTTTCACTGCAGTCAAGCCAGATAATCTTTCCGCTTCAGTGTCCTTCCCAAAAGGCTCCAATGTACACTTTACTGGGTTATTTTGTACCATTTTTAACACTCATTCTTCAGAAAACAACTACAGCTCAAGATGATAATCTGCAGTCATGTAAGTCTGGCCTGGTCTTTTATTGTTATTGTTGTCTTTGTTAGCTTCTCTGTGCTGAGCTGTTGTTAAATTTATAAGCCAATTGCAAATGTGCTGTGCTCCTTCCAGGAAATAAGAAAATGTAATTCTGTTAGTGCCACAGAGAATATATGGGTGTCTACCAGGTAGGAAAACGCTTGGGAGTAGCTCAGACAGCATATACATGAGTGGCAGCTTGCATATCAGTGTTTGCCTTCAGGCTGTTGGCTCAGACATCGCTGCTCTATTAGTATGCCACCGTATGCCTCGAATGCAGCCACATTCACCGGGGATGCACTCCAGCAAAACATTGTGACTGGGAGTGAGTACATCCTCTCAGAGTAGAGGATTTTACAATGACCATCAGGATGCTGGTAATTCATCCATCCAGTTAGATCAATGGGAGCACACAGTATGCTCATGTATTACTTGGATGGCAAGATACAAGAGTTAGGTTCTGTGTTTGGAGCTACAGTGTGGTTGTTTGTTGTACTTCTTGAACAACACTATGTGTTCATATTAAAGCAATTACAATCGAGTAATAATTTAAGTTATTTATCAAGCAGAAATTCATTATTTCCTGATTCTCAAATTTGTAGATTTGTTTTTTTCCTTTTATCGAGTGAATATCTTTACATTTTGGTCAGACAAAACAACCAATTTTAATGTTGCCATGCTCCCTATTTTCTGAAATTTTATAGCCATGGTATTGCTTCTACTAGTTACTATATACTGTACTTTATAATGCAATTTTATGCTTTGGGTACCAGTTTGAAGTGAGACTTCACAGCAGCACAAATCTCCGTGGCATGTTATAAATTCTAATCCTCTTTTCCTGTGAATCAATCCCATCCCTGTCTTGTCCTGCAGAAAAAAAAAAAAACACCAGACACAGTTTTTGACAGGACCCTGTGGTGACTGGAAGGCCCATTCTGTGTTTTAGTCTGTCTTCTCAAAAGGAGATCTGATAGAAAGAAAAGGTGTGTGAGGTGTAACAGTGCAGAGCAATCTAACTAGCTCTGTACAGTATTCTGCCTTTTCACAAAGAGCTTAAAAACTGTCTTCATATATTTCAAATATGAGTTCACATTGGTGTCCTACTGCAGTTTTACGTTTGAATAATAAAAAAGAATTACTAATCTGACAAAGGGAAAACATGACAAATAACCAACGTTACTCCAAAGATATCTGTCTGAATTTGTGTATTTCCAATATTTGGAGGTCAGACAAATTAATTGAGAAATTCTAATTTAGATAAAGAGAAATTATTCAGAAATAGAGGATATAAGAGTACATTATGTAGACTCATAAAGATATTTTGAAACTGTCTGTTCTCACTTCTTGTGAATTAGTCACCAGCAGAGTAGATAAAGTCCTTCTTACTTCTTGCTGGTGTAACACCGATCAGAGGATGCTTACGGCAGGGGATGGATTTGTACTGTACATGCAGGCTAGAAACAAGCATTTAGCTGTGTGAGTCAGCCTCCAGCCGTCTCCCTTAGCCAATCTGCTTCTTGGCTCAACTTCCTTGTCAGCAAGACGCCTTTGGAAAAAAAAAACATCTGCTGACTCTCCCAGGTGAGGAGAGTTACTGTGATCCCACAGGAGGTTTCACACAGGCCCGGGGCATTTTGACATCAAAAGTATTCTCTTTCTAATTTGTAATACTCCCTACACTCATTTTGTATATTTTACTACAACAGTTTGTTGTTTCATAGTGTTTTTTAACCACATTCTGACTTATTTATTCTCAGATCAGAATAAGGATATTTTGAATCAAGGGCACACACCTGTCCTTCTTTCCTCTTTGACAGGCTAAGTTACTGATGTGTCAGCACTGTTATTGATTGAGAAGCTGAATATTTCATGATAGTAATTGGAGCTGGATTGCAGCACTTGCACTAAAGTAAACCTAAATTCTGAATCGTCTACATAGTGTTGGAATCCAGAGACAGTTAAGAGCTTATCCTGATAGAATTTTACAGCACAAAACAGCAACTGCAATGTATAACAACTGTGAGATCATCCTTCGTTTGGAGCGGGTGTTTGTTCTTGGTGATGTTTTTATGTTGGACTGCTCGTTGCTGTAGCCTCAGTTTGTCTATGAATCAAAGCCTTTCATATCCACAGAACGCTAGAGGCGTAATAACAGCTATTATGAATAATTAAGATGTTTGCAGAGTTCTCCTTTTTGGCTAGTCTTGGTGAATTTCTTCTGTTCATAAAAAAAAAACTCTCCAAGGAAAGATACTGATCTGATGATACTTAATCCTAAAAGTACAAAAGAAACATGGCCATGGTCAGCAGGGGGCAACTCCACTGGCCTGCAAAAAGAAGTGCAATTGTATGTAAGCTTATGAGAAAACGACACTACTTCTCACTTGATTTATTACCTCAGTAAACAGTTTCCTAAACACTGGTTTCAAGTCGTCTTCCAAACAACAACGTGTTCCTTTTGTAAATTATTTAGAGTAAAATAGACGATAAAGCACAGTATGCTCTACCTCGTGACTGATAAGTTGTTACCAGGGCGTGTCCTCGGGTTCTCCATCCATTTAGGATAGAGGCAGCTCCACGCTCCAAAAAAACAAGATGGTGACGGCCTCAATGCCAAACTCGAGGCTTCAAAACGGTAGTTCTCAGACCAATGGGCTTAGACTTGTGCTAAACACTTCTACCATCTTATTCTCACTCAACAAACCGAAAAAAATGTGAAAACATGGAGTGATTGAAAGCAGACAAAGAACTTATTCATACGGAAGCCAAGAACGGCCGTGCTTTGCAATTATTCTTTTTTAATGCTGCTATCTTGAGATCACAATTACTTTGTGATCTCAAGAAAATAAGCTTTGTTGTCCTCAGATAACAAGATAATCAACCTGTCAACACAAGAAAACAAAAGGTTGTTTCCTCTTGTTACTTATTATGTTAATCAGCACCCTCAAGAGAGATAGATGATGTATTATAGATGTAGCATTGGTTCAACATAAAGGACATTGCATGGATGATGTAATGTGCTAGTTAATATTTATTTTCATACTAAATTCTTCACTAAAAAAGTGCACGAAAAGAATCTAGACATTGCACAGATCTTCGAGCTAATTTAGTAAATCATAGTCTTGCTATATTTTGTCAGTATTGCATCACATTGCCAGGAAATAAATAGCTCAAATTTGCTGTCAGTTAGCTGTCTGGTAACCACTCTTTTCACTTCAGTTATGAATCCTCCCTGACAGTTATGACAGTGGTCTTGAAGGCTGAAATCAGGTGTGAGCAAATGAACCAACCCCTAATTTTTAAGTTCTCCATAATTATCACGTTATCTCAAGAAAACAGATCGTTTTCTCGTCGTTAATTATCTCGAGATCTCAACTTAAATCATCTCATTATCTCGAAAACACAAAAGGCAGGTTTCTCCAGACAACAAAATAAATAACTCCACATTGCGAGATAACAGCTTTAAAAAAAATATTTCAGGCACAGCAACTCTCTCTGCATTCATACATCCCTGTAATTTTAGATTTTTTATTTTGACACTGACTACGTTTTTCTGTTCTCTGGCATCCTTCCTGCTCTGCAGATCCAGGCAGTGGCAGCGATGACACGCCTCTCCACAAAGCCACTGCGCCCCCCAGTGAAGCCTCCCATGTTCAGAGTCGGTCTCAACCTCCCAACGCCCCCAGCCTCCAGCGCCGCAGTTTGCCGCCTCAGCGCAGCTCCCCCCTCGGTACGTCCCTGCAACACCCTAGAAACAAGCATCCTGGTGCTCAGTTTTTCTGTACATGTGTATGCGCGGTTAGAGCTATCTCCAGAGACAACATCCTTGTCCCCATTCAAGGTCACTCTGCCGGGTGATCACATGAGCCTTGAGATTGGTGAGCCAGTGCTAGTGGGGGTGGCAGCTAAGCATAGGAATGTACGTGGAAATTGCTGTCATCACTCAAACAGCTCATCACAACTGCTAAACTGTATTCCTCTTTTCACATGTTGGTATTCATTCCTCAGTAGGATTCAGCCACTCCAAGCCCTGTAATGACAGCACTGGTTCACCTCCAGCCTCTAATTCACAGCAATGACTGTTTTCTTAGTGTGTTATTTTTCTCTGTTTAGATTACTGAAGTTGTCAATGAGATACACAATAGAGTAGTAATAGTAATAGTAGTAAGACAGTTACCTAGCAGGGTAGTTTACAGGCGCTGGTGTACTGTATGGTGTGTGTAGCTGGACCTGAATTCTGTATGAGGCGTGCCACGAATTTCATTTTACTACTTGATACCATAACACTGTTGGCGAGGCAGCAGAATATATGTTTTGAGTGTCTCACTGGCTTCAGGCAATTGATTTATATATGAGACACGTGGGAATATATGAATATGTGTTTAAATGGCTTTGTTGACATCTCATCTTTCTCACATGAGTGTAAAATGTAAATTACATTCATAAATTAAGGGGGAAAAGGGCCACTTTTTAATCTGTAACTTAATATAAAATTGTGAAATTGTGTCTTCAAGGCAAAAGTAAATCCTTTTTCTATTCAACCCGGTCTTTGACAGGGCATTTTTCTATTTTTGTTTGTTTGAGATGGACAATTATGGCCATCAATGAGTGTGCCCCATTGACATGCCCTCAATATCCACCATTTGTTGCATTTTCCTTGTGGAAAAAAAGGAACACAGAATGAAAAGTAATTACCCCAAAAACGTGAATCCTGCTGAAATGTATCTTAACTGTTGCTTAGCATTGCATCACAGCAGTGATACAGTACCATATACTCCTTCTCTGCGGATGTAGGCGTCTTTGTTGTAAGTTGGTGCACCTTGTGGCTCATGTTGGCATCCTTGCAGCAATTGTGGAGTATTAACACCTTCCAGTGGTCACAGAGTGTATTTCAGTGTGCCTCAGCGTCCTTCAACAAAACCTGTGTGAACAACCGGAGGAGCAGCTCCAGCTAGTGGTCACTGTATCACATTGTACCTTACTTATACATTTTCTCATCTGTGGTTTACACCAGTAGTTCCCAACCTTTTTCGGTTAACTTTTTCAATCAAATATCGATTTCCAACTCCCTGATTGTTGCATTGAAATCATTTTTAAGAGCCTGAAGTATTTTTTGAGAATATATGTAGTAAAAATCAAAGTTTATATATCACAGCCCTTTGGGTGCTGGTGCAACCGACCACCAGGCTGGGAACATGTGCACACAATGCATGCTGAGTTGCAGAATCAAACTTTTATAATTAACAGAAGTTATACTAATGACCTTAAAATACTCTATGTATGGACACTGGTGGACGTATTCAGATCTGTTGCCTACAGTAAGTAAAATTACAATACCGCAGTGTTATACCTCATCTTTGTCCTGTATTGTTTTTAACGCTGTGTGGTGGAACTAAAAACAATTTTTCCACAACGTCAACAACAAAAACCAACTAACTACCTCACTAATCAAAAATACTCCATTACAAGTAAATGCTCTCGATTCAAAATTATACTTGAATAAAAGTACAGAAGCATAATCAGCAAAATGTACCTAAATTATCAAAAGTGATTGTGCTAATACAGAGAAAACCCTGTCAAAGTGTTATTTTATGTGTTACTGGATTATTAATACTGGTACATTTATTTGTAAGCAGCATTTTAATGCTGTAGCAGATCAAGATGAACCTAATTTGATCTACTTTGCATACATGTACAATAGTTTAATCCACAGAAATAGATCATAATTTATAAACTCGTTTTATGTATGTTTTTTGTGTGTAATCTCTGTCTGCAAAGTAACTTGTTACCTTAACTGTCAAACACATTAAAGTGAAAGAGTAAACAGAATTTAAAACCTATGAGAGAAATCAAAAACAGCATTTCTTGTCTTTCGAATGTGTGCATTATAAAACACATTAACATTTTTCTTTACCACACAGCCTCTAGGAGAGAGCTGCAGAAGGACATAGAGGCTGTGATGCCGCCCAAGTCCTCCCCTAAAAGATTTGCGGTGGTTTCGCCCAAGCCACAGTCCCCTGGTGAGTCTTACATATCACATTGCAGCCTGTGAGTGTGTGTACATGTGATCACATACTGTATGCACATACAATACAATATACATCTGATATTGTACAAAGAGAGAAAGCAGCAGTCAAACATCTTCAGCCTCTACTGTATCTTTAAAATTTACAGTCACTCTCTCTCTCGACGCTGCATTACAAGACCCATGGCAGCCTGCTGTTGTCATAGCAACAAGCTACAGTGGCTATAATGCTAGGATGGCTCCTTCTCTAGCAATCCTGCTGGGTCAGATTACCACTTCAAGTCAGCGTCTTGTCTTTCTCTCAGTCAGTGACCAGACAGACAGAGTTCAGCTAATAAAAGTTTGCTGCACACATAATACACACTCATATTTTCCCAGAGGTGAGAGAGTTGCTGATTGGTCTAAGGCGTGAGAAGACTTGAGTAACAGTAAGCTGGAAAGACCATTTGTCCTTGTGGGAGGATATAAACCACTGAGGTTCCAACCAATCCGCAGTTCAATTGTGTGAGTATGTGTATGTGTGTAAGAGAGTTAAACAATTGCTAGTATTTTTCCGCAGTGTAACTCAGCTATTTGGTATTGTTATTAGGGGTGCAGTTAATGATTATCGATTTAGCTGCTGGTTATGTTTCTATTAATTATATATAAAAAACAAATTTGAAAAGTCAGTGAAATAGTTTAAAAATAACATGCTTCCAGAACCCCAAGTACATTTGACTAATTGCTAATAAAGATATTCATTTTACAGAGATATAAAACAGGGTAAGCACCAAATCCTCAGGCTGGAACCAGATAATAACTTATGTATCATTTTCCAAAAATAACTTTTTTATTGATTATTAAAATGAATGTTGATTCATTTTTTGCTGATCGATAATCACTGTTGTTGTGACATTAGTCTTGCTATTGTTGGTGTTCACTCTTCTGATTCTACTTATATACACATTATAAAGTCTTCACAATCTTTGGCTGGTGCAAACATGTCAGCGGTTGCAGAGGAATGGTTGTGGAATAGGTTATCTACTTGTGAATGGCAGTGTTCAGATTTTTCACTTCATTTTCATTCAAGTCTGTTATGAGTGATAATATTTCAGTATACGTTGTTCATCCTTCTGCTCTGTGTCTCTGTAGTTCGTGGGCGGACAGCAGCAGTTCATGGAGCTGTTCGGACTGAAAGGGCCCAGGAGCTGGACCGGGCTCTGATCCAGCAGCTGCGGGAACGCTGTGAGCAGCAGGCTCTGCAGCTACAGAGCCTTCAGGCCCAGTTAAAGAAGGCCTCCCTGTGCCTGGACGTTTTCAGCATCACCACGCAGCACTTCTGTCACAAGGTAGGCTACAGCAAGGCTCTGGGGGTTGACAGAGAAGCTAACTCAAGGTTGCCTTCACTATGAGAGCTCCGTAGAAGATTTTAAAGTCCAAAGTCCAAATTAGTTCAATCAAAACTGTAAAACAGGGCTGCAGGAGGTTTCACATCCCCTTCTTCTGCCCTTTTAAGGAATCTCTGATGTCCAAGATTTTGGAGCTTTGCATTCATGAAGTAACTTATCAGAATTGAATCCCACAAGTATCCCCTGGCTTAACTCTCTGAGAAATTAGTTCATGGATGTCATCTTCCACATTTAAAATCTGGATGTTGAGCAAGGATGAACAGCCCTGGCTTGCAGCTGCATTATTGTGTAACAGTAGCATAACTTGATCTTAACCGTATCAAGAGTTTGAGGACAGAGGGTGTTGTACAGTGTACAGATTGTAAACACCCCTGAGGGAAATTGGTATTAGTAATTTTGGGCTATATAAATAAAATTTGACATGGTTTAATAAAGTTAATTTTATCATGATGGATTGCCAATCTCAAGCAAGTTTGGTTTCCATGCTGAAATGAACAAAGAGAGAGGTTGGTTGGTTCAAAGAGAAAGATGAACCAACCAACCTATGCTCTACTAAGTGTTATGCAAACAGAATCCTGTAATAGAAACTGCATCTTTTGATTAAATCAAGCACTTGCATTGTTGACTGTGGTTAATCTAAGATGGCTGTTCGTTTTGCTGTTAAAAACTACAAAGGGAAAGCTGTTGCTGGCTTCAGACTGCAACTACAAAGTGAGACCAATATCACAAATGACACCTGCAGCATCTGGTTTCTGTTGTCAGCATTACTTTGTTCACAAAGCCAGTCCCTTGCTTTAGAACCACATTGTTGCAGCTTTTTGAATATATTGAGAATAACCCTGAAGCAGAAGAATCTGTCAGTAAAACTGTCTGTGTGGAAAAATACAAAGATTTTTCAAGTGGTTTAAAGGAAATGGTATTTGAGGCATTATGGGTTTTTATACATTCAAGTGTATATAGGGACATGCATTTTATAGTTGTGTGGCATTTCATGTTGGGTCTGTCCTGCAGTGGCTGGATGGTTGACTCATTTAGTATTTATTTCAAATAGCTGGGTTGATGAGTATTCTCCAGCTTCTGGTGGTAGAGACAGGCTGCTTTCACACTTTGCAGTGTGTTCTGAACTCAAAACCTGGATTAAGCGCTTGTTTCTTGCCCTTTTCTGGTCCTCTGCTTGCATTTAATCCATTACCCGGTCCCACCCACGGGTTCTGCTCTACAGTGGGAGATGATTTTTAAGATTAGAGCTGCCTGCCTGGACCTCTGTGTGCTTTTAGTAAGACTGATTGTCAGACACTGGTAGAATACCCTCTAAGGTTTGACGGGAAGACATGGAAGACTTTGAAATGTGGATCCGAGATGTATCTAGTGTATGGGACTAACCTTTAAAATGTGTTACTTGAATTTGATTTGCAATCGCTAATTACGACAAATTGTCAGTGATTTTCTTTTCCTTAAATATTTGTTCACTTACTAGTTCCAGTCAGTTTCTTTTGGAATACAGTGTATCATTTTTTCCGATATTGGCCAACATATTATATTTCTGTGTTGATAAGATCTGAGACTAGCTTCAGCTCTTCAGAACCTCCTCCCTCTACCTTGTAATCTAGCACCACTGCTCTGGTCATTACTGCGCATACATGTTGTGTATTTTAAGATGTATACAAGCAGAAGAGAATAGAGACTAATATTGTCTTTTTTATGAACATATGATTATTAATTGACCTATATTGGACAGATTTATTGCTTTACTTACTTTACATGCTGCAATTTCAAATCCTTGCTTCAGTCAAAACTATCTAGAATAAGTAATTTTTTATTCAGCATATTTGTGTTCTGTATGTATTGAAATGCCTGCATGTAGCTATTTTCCCTGAGCTGAGTAACAGAGCACATAATTGGCCAGTTATTGATCATCTCCCTCCCCCATCTTATCCTGCTCCACTCTTTTTGTTTTTTTTGTTCTTAAAGATGCGAAAGACCACACATATGTGTGTGTGTGTGTGTTGCTCTCTGCCATGCTTGTGAATGTGATACAGGGCGTGTTGGTGGGGGTTTAAGGGGAGGGCAGAGAGAGCTGGGCTGGGGCTGGCAGTCTTTGTTCCAGCAGGGATAAACGCCGGTCGCAAACCAGGAAACGAGGTGAGGCTTCGGTCTTCCCATCTCTCCTCCCCTCTCCTTCTTTCGCCTGGTTCCCTCCCCCTCTGTCTCTCTTTCTGTATCTTTCTGGCACTCGCATCTATCACTGCTGCCTCCCCAGTCGGCTCAGGGATGCTGCTGTCTGCTAGCCCAGCATGGGCCATTGCTGCTGTAGGCTCCATTTCCTCCCTCTGCGCTGTCTGGACCAAACGGTAAAGGCAGTATCTTCTGCAGGCAGCAGGCTTGTTTCAGCACAGAGGATTCCTTTTTGTATGTGTGGTTGTGCGCATGTGTGTGTGTTTGGTGGGGGGGGGGTTGGGTATCTGAGGGTGTCTGTATGTGCATTATATTCACCTGTTTCCTAGAGACAGAGCTGGTGGAGAGAGTGTAAAGCTGTGCATGATTATGCTGAGTCAAAGCAGGCTTGTCTGTCGCACTGTCCCTCTTTCTTTTCTCTTAGAGTTTGCAGGGACATTACATAACATGTTATTGCTGGTGTGCTTTATTCTTACACTTTCTATCCCTGTGTGTACCTTCTGTCCTTAATGTATGTATGCTGGTGTAAATCTGGGTGATTATGTGTATGATAGAACTTCCTCCACTTAGAATGCATTTTTCTTTTGTTTACCTGATGCTGCTGAATTTATCACCTACAAGAAATCACATGTTTTGTTTTCCTTATAAAAGTCAAGCTGTAGTTCCAGCTTCCTGCATGTTCGATGGAGTCTGAATCTCTTCGGGGCAAAAAGTCCAAACAAAACAGCAGCTGCTCATTGGAAGGTTTTTATGAACCCACTGAAACTAGTTGTATTCTATTGGAGAGGTTAATTAACTAATTACAGTATCTCCTTGAGAATGAGCACCTTAACTATAAAAAGTCTTGTTTATTATTTTCCAGAAGGTAGAATGTACAGTGCTTCTCTGTTTTCTGTGTATCATTGTAAGTAGAATATCTTTGGGTTGTGGACCATGGACTCTGGTTTATTGTGATAAGAATGTTTCACTATTTTCTTATGTTACAAAACAAAAAATTGTTACAGAACAAAAAATTGTTATCTAACAACTGATCAGAGAATCACAAAAATAATCAACAGCGTAATCAATAAAGGAAACAACCATCAGTTGCAGTTGCAACAGTTGCATTGATTATGTTACCTTGGTGAAGGCAGATCAGATGGGAAGATTAGAATGCACATCACATAACTCCCTGAAGATCTAAGTAGGGGGCGTTTGGGCGGGACGGGGAAATGATGGGTAGGAGCAGAGGAGGAGATGAAGAGGTAGAAATGAAAAAAGTCTCCATCCTTCATCCCTCATGAGGTCAGAGCAGTCTTTCCCTGATGACTGTATGTTCCATGTAAAACCTCTTAGAGGATGATATCATTACTACTGAGGCATACTGTATACTATCTCATACGTATTTCACCCACTGCTCTCTGTCTCTCTCTTTCTTTGTTTCTCATAAGCACTGCTTTGTGTTCCCTAGTATATCTCCTAGCAACAGTGTGCATAGCTGTCTTACCACATCTTTAGAATTGTGATCAATAGTCATTTAACTATTCTGGTGTGTTTTCCTCTGTTAGTAAGATTTGCTCTGAAAGTGTCACATCATGAGTCTCCAGTGGATACCAGAGCAGGCCTGTGCAAAAGCTGTGTCTGATGACTGTTTAATTTTTCACAAATGTAATAGACTTGACTCTTACAGGCTGGCGTGATCATTTACTGTAGCTTGTAAGACCCTTAGCTATTATAATCCATGGTGAACTAGATTGGTGTTTCTCAAACGTTCTACTCTACGTAGCACTTCTGTGTAACAGCGTAACACAGAAAATATAATATACTATATTATATAATAATAACCACCAATATGACCGTGGACAGTTCACACAGGAGGCAGGTTTATTCTAATAAGAACATTATTTGTTGTTGACCATTGTTGAATCCTGAACAGATCCAGTTCAAGAACCAGAGCTAATTTGGAGGAAAAATGGTACTCCTGGTCCACTTAGTTTCCATTTGGACCATGATTGTAGTGTTTTGGAACCATTCATTTTACCTCCCCTTACTATTTTGTCATTATATTTTAGTTTGTAACTAACCATGTATACATGCACTATGTTTATGGCCATGACTGTGTAGCAGACTGATATTAAAACAAAATATGATAGGAAATGCAAAACGTATTTTAAATTGAAATATTTTCATTTGAAATTTTGTAGTATTTTGATAGTATTATATGTTTTTGAATTAATTTCATTTTTAAAAAACGTTTCACAGATTGCTCCACTTAGCCAACCACTAGAAGCCGCCAGCAGTGGTACATATACCATCGTAGGAGAACCAGTGAATTAGGTAGTGCTAAATTGTAGTGCTGTAGAAAAAGTAAATGATATAGACTGTGTTGTTACCATTCATCATATGTTTCTAGATTGGAGTACATAAAGACTTTTGTGTTGGTTCTTGTAGCCACACATATTTACATGTTTATGTTGAAAAGCCATACAAATGTGACCTCTAATCATCTATTTTTACCAAAAGTACAACAGATTGTAGCTGTGACTTCTGACCTTTAGTCCAGCATATTGTCATCTTTTATCAGTGAATCATGGCCTGCAGGGCATACAATATGACATATTGTATTATAACTAGGGAGTGCTGGGTTTTGGTCTGGTAGAGATACAAAATGGTTTGTGGTTATTGCTAATTACACCATCTGGTGGTTAAAACATCTAACAGAGCTGTTATACAAGTATGAGCACAGGCTACTTTATTGCATATTATCAACATTTTTGGTAAAACAAACTGTAAATAATACCTCATGTTGTCAGGACATTCTCTTGACCTAATGCACACTACCTGCTAACATTTTGGGTTGAAAATATCTCCAACCCTTCCTCTTCTTTGTGTTTCTCTGGTTTGCCATAAACATATGAGTCCATTCCTAGGTCAGTTTGCCACTGTGGTACTGTAGGTGGTTCAGTACAGTTCAGAGGTGTTCACTGCTGTGTGTGTTTGCATTTCAGAGTGAGAGTGCCATTGTGAAGGAGAGGGAACTGTCCCTGGAGCTTGCCAGAATCAGGGATGAAGTGGGTGAGTGGGATGCAGCGTGACATATACAACACCACAGGGAAGAGAGAAGGCAGTGAGTCACTGCTTACTGCATATCATGTATTATACAGTGAACTACCACAAGGGACGGAGGAAACAAGTGACCTCTGGGAGTCCACTCTGCTGATGCTAAAGTCTGGATTTAGTCAGAAATCGAATACCATATACCATACACTGTAAAAATCCTGCCCTGTTGTCATAGCTTCATATCAAACTTTATCAAAATCATTTAGTCTGGGTTTGTTTAAAGATTTTTCAAACAAGTGGGCAAACATTGTACAGAGAATAAGAGCTAACACAAAATAAACATATGAAGTTACACAATTTAACATTATTAATGTGTTAACAAAACAAAATCTAAACATCCAGACTTTACAATAGAATAATATTGAAATAATTAATAAAATAATAAGCCAACAAACTAAGAAGCTGTTAAATGTTTTGCTTTGGTGGATCTTCTTGAAACAAAGTTGCTTCTTTGGTTGCTGGTACATGACCTAAATTTGGATCTAGTGAAATAAACTAAAGTTCTACGTTGTGTCCCAGCTTTCAGTGTTGCACACTGGGAGCAATTGCAGCAGGAGAAGGGGCAACTGGAGCGTCGTTTTGAGGCTGAGCTGCAGGGTTTGCGGGCTCAGCAGCAGAGGGAGCTGGGAGCGCTGGAGAAGCGGCTGAAGGCACAACACGCGGCTGAGGCCAAGAGCCTGAAGGCCCAACAACGGGGCGAGCTAGAGGAGCTACGATTCAGACAGCAAGAGCAGGTGTGTGTGTTTTGATAAAGACTGGATATAAGCTGTTTTGTCCACATGTGATATGAGAAGGGAAGATGGGATGTCACTAAAACGTTCAGTTCACCTAAATTACAAAAGAATATTTACCTACTCCAGGTTTTGATTATCTGGCTCTGAAATCCCTGTTTCCAACTGAATACAAAGGATGCTAATTAAATTTTGTTTGTGGTTCTCAAAGCATTTTGAAATTCTATGTAAACACCAATATATTACAAATATGTCTTTCCAGTTACTCTGGGTAAGCCACACACCTCACTATATACTGCTTTCATTGGAACTGCTTTCCTACTGAAGAAACAGTCCCCATTAAAACTTTTAATAGTATGTTACATAATCCCCTAGGGTGCACATATGCATGTATGAATGTGTGTTTGCGTAACAGTGAACAGTAGGTATCACTGAAGTTTTTTTGGGATTGTTAATTGTCCAAATTCTTGCCCCAGATTGAGGAAATGAATGAGAACCACGAGGCTACCTTGATGGAGATGGAGACAGCTCACAATAACACTCTGGCCACTCTGCAGGAGGAGCAAGCTAGAACTGTGAAGAGTAAGCATTTAAAACCTGTTGCTCTCTTGCACTGATCCACTCTGCTGCAGCTCAAGAGAAATATGAATATGTTATTTCTTGTGTCAGATCTAAAGATGGCCCATGAACAGCAGACAAAGTCTCTGGCAGAAGAGTTTGAGAAGATCAGACTGTCACTGCAGGTAAACGGTTGTTGAAAATATATGTTTTTACAGATACACAAGGTATGATACATTTTGTAAATAGTGACAGTAATTAACAAGTGAATATCTGTCTGATCACCAGGATCAGGTGGACACGCTGACGTTTCAGAATCGTAGCCTCAGAGACCGTGCCAAACGCTTTGAAGAAGCTCTTCGCAGGAGCACGGATGAGCAGATAGTGGTAACTGCTGAATGATTCAGTACAGGACAGCATGTTGACTGCTTTGGTGACAGTAGCTGGATAAAACTTTGTTTATTGGTTTTCACTAATGTTATCTGCTGTTGCCAGGATGCTTTGGCACCATATAAACACATTGAGGAGGACCTGAAGAGTCTGAAAGAAGTTCTGGAGATGAAGAATCAACAAATTCATCAACAGGACCTGAAGATCTCAGAGCTGGAGAAAATAGTAGGTTTCAAATTTCTGCTTTCATTCAGCAACAAAGGAAAACTGTTTTTTTATGTGAAGTTGTCAAAAATATTAAACCCACACATAGAGGTTGTACTAACATCCAGGGTAAACTAATGACAGCATAATATGACCAAAAAAGGGATTCATGCAGTATTTTCTCCTTTGTAAACACACATGGTTTTTGCCTGTTTTACTTTTGTCATACATCATTTAAAAATTTTAATGTTGTGCACATTTTCTCTCTGTGTTTTTGAGCAGGCTGAAAAGAATGTGTACCTGGAGGAGAGACTACAAGTGTTACAACAGCAGAACGAGGACCTGAAGGAAAGAATAGACAAGAACGTTGCTGTGTCCAGGTGAGATGAGTTCCAACACGTACTAGTGCAGATTTAAAATCTAGTTCAAACCAGTGGCAGTGGATTTAGCCTATTGATAACATTAAAATGTTTGAATCTTTAATTTTTCCCTGTCTGTCCTCTTTCTCAGGCAACTCTCGGAGGAGAATGCAAACCTGCAAGTGCACGTGGAGAAGGAGAGCAACGAGAAGAAGCGGCTGAGTCGCACTAATGAGGAACTGCTCTGGCGTCTTCAGACAGGCGAGCTGAGCCCTCGCATGTCCCCCAGCTCCTCCCCCATCCATAGACCCTCCTCTGGACCAGGTTCTCCTGCCCGCCCACACTCCTACCATCAATGACACTCTCAATGGAAGCTCTTGTATCAAACGCTTTCTTTTAACTGGCATCAGAAGCCCTGATTTTTTAAAACGTCTCTGTTGAATGTTTGTTAGGATTTCCCACTATGTAAATGGACAGACATAGTAAGTTTGTTTCCTGGAAAATGCCACTCACATGTGATGCATTTCCAAAGTCCAACCCCAGGAATTTGAATCTCTGACCTAAAGAATTGTATTAACGGTCACACCTCTTATTGTTCAAAAGGGAATTATCTGCCCTCCTCTTTTTCTATACCACCTGAATGGTCCACAAAACCAACGTGCTGTGATACCGCAGTAGATAAAAGACCTGGTCATTGTAGACTTCAGAGAGCAGGATCAGAGTCATGGTGCCTCATTTCCATGTTTTCGCCTCCATCTACCTACCATCACCACCTTCTCATCCAGCGCTCAGGATGATGGATGTACGAGACATAACAAATATCAAAAGTGCAACAACGAACACAAGAAGCGCCTTTGCTGTCCATTTTCTCCCACCAGCAACGTTTATCAAGGCACAGGGAATACTTTGAGTAAATCACAAACCTACCTACAGTAAGTAACTCTAAAAGTTTGGATACTTCTCTGGGGCATGTTTACCTTTTCCTGCTGAAATCTTTCATATAGAGTGTATGAATGACTACCTACCCATCTAACCTCAACCATCCAACAACTAGATATCAGCATTTACCTGAAATGTAAGATTACAACAACATGAAAACTCATAATTTCATTGAACTGCCAACACAGTGTAACTATGATATTGATTATAATTTTCAAAAACTGTATATGTATTGCTCTCTTTAAAGCATGTTCTGTCTTCCAGTTATAATGCATTTTACTTTAGGATTACCTACAGTGTGACAACATGGAGAAGGAAGGTAAAGGGGCAACACAAGTTAACTCTGATTTCTAATAAAACAGTGCAGTTATTCAAATGGAACTAAAAAAAAAATTACTGTATTATACATTTCAGGCTAATCTCACATTTTTTATGTGAGATGGTGTCCCTCACCTTCAGTCGGGTTAAGGATAAGCATAAGAATATGCCACAAAATAAAACTGCAGGATCTGTAGAAACCACCAAAGAGGAAATCATGAAACACAGCAGTTCGTCATGTACTGTATAGTTGTCATATGTCTAGAGTTTAGTGCTGCAGAATCAGCCATAAATGCTGCAGACATTGCAGTTCTTATCATAATGTATTGACCTGAGCATATGTAAATCAAACGTTGTTGCTGTTGCATTTGGACAGTTGAACATGCTTTCTCTTTCTTTACGTGAACCTTATCATCGCTCTTACAGTTGATTCAAATTTTCTCTGCTGCTGATTGTTTTCTGTGTGTTTTGAAATTCCCCACAGAAACCCTCATGAGAAAATGTGATGAAATATACTAAAACTAACTAATTGTTTCATTCATTCTCCATTCGCACCTCCAATTGAATCTTTTGACTCGCAAAATTCCTGTCCAAAATTAAAGAAGTAAAACTGACTTAATCAGAGAAAAAAAGTGAAATCATGAAAATCTGCAAGCTGATACCTCATTTCTCATTGCAGAGAATAATCTCAGGTCTTGAGGAGAATTATGAGTCATCAAAGGGAAGCAACTGCCATAACTTTTTTATTTTTTTTTATTAATTGTAATCTTTTTTTTATACGTTTGCTCATGTTTACATAATCACTCAACTCAACTGTCTCCTTTGCAAGATAACCTTTGTATGAAAGTAGTTGGATGTACAAAATATGTTTAACTATGTTAAAGAGCATTGTGCAGTCAGCAAATATATAGATAGAATAAATATTGCTTTTATTATAATGATATAATAATCAGCCCCCCCAGACACATAAAATGTGGAAATCTGCTCAAACAGGGATTTGGTTTCAGGTGAGTTGCATTTACTGTTAGGACAACAAGTTGATTATGTTTAACTTGGTTTTACTGTGTCCTAAAAGAAAGTGGAAATGGTATTTCTCTCCATCAGGTACTCCGATTGCACTGATTCCCTCTGTGTCCTGTGGACATGACCTTGTACTCATTTACTGAATGTTTGACACTAGAATAAGAGGTTTTGTTCACAGTTTATATCCAATGTCAGAGAAGGTTGGTCCATCAGGTGGATGTCAGTTCTTCTTGATTGTTTACAGGACTTCTGTTGTAAAGATTGTATTCAGTATTTTAAAAGTTCATGCTCTGGATGAGTTTAAATGAAAGCATGTCTTTATCAGGTTGTTATGCATTATTTTTGTTTTACATTTCTTGTGCATTTCATTAATTGATTAATTTATGTGTCCCCCGCCAGAACTGCAACTGTAGCTTAGCTGGTAAAAATATTGTGGTCAGTGATAAGACACTAATGTCTATACAGTACTGTATATGTTGCACTTTGTATTAAGTATTAAATCACAATATGAAAATAAGTGTCCAAAAGTGAGATCTGGTATATGTATATCTTTAAATACATAATTATTCTATATATCTATAGTTTGCATTCCTATATAGGGAAAATTACCAAAGCTCCTCTTTTGTCTGAGAACACTTTGTATAAGAAGTGCAGTGCAGTGTAGTTCAGCAGTAAATACAATATATGCCTCTTATACAGCATCTAAAAGAGATAATTCATTTAGCTCTTGTAGTAATTGCTGGCTATAAGATTCATCACTTCCTCTGCATAAAACCCTGCAACATATCAATGGGCACAGGGAAGATGATGGTGGAGTTCTTCTCTGCTGCGATGGAGTTGAGGCTCTGCAGGTATCGCAGCTGGAGAGCTGAGGGTGACTCAGCAATGACCAGAGAAGCTTCTTTCAGAGCCCTTGACGCATTCATTTCTCCCTCTGCGGCAATGATCTGAAACACAAACAGACAGACAATCATTATTTATAAGGTTGTTCCCTCTCAGCATCCCTCCTTATTCACAGATATCTCTCTAGGTATCGAGATCATTTTCCCTCGTCACCTTCGCTCTGGCCTCCCGACTGGCTTCTGCCTCTGCTGCCATGGCTCTCTGCAGCTGCTGAGGCAACTTCACATCCTTGATCTCCACACGCTCCACCTTAATACCCCACGGATCAGTGGCTTCATCCAGAGCTTCCTGCAGGGAAATATTAAATAGCACATGCTCCAGTCCCGTGTTTCCCGTGTTAGCTCCACTAATCTGTTACGTTTTGATAAGCAAGAACTCAAATGATTACAAAAATTATTACCCTACTCTGTCACCACTCAACATTGTTGTTGGAGCAGACACAGACACAGGTTTTATGCAGACAAGCTCTTATAAACCCAGAGTATCAGCAGATATATTTAAAGACAACTGCTTAAAAAGGAACAATTAAATATCTAGATATAGTCTAGTTTAATTAAATAGTCAGTTTAGACAAGTATGAGATTTTCATTTTTGGACATACATTTATCAGTTGGTTAGAAACACGATGATAGGGTTGCTGCATGTTTGCTGAATGTGTGAAGAAGGCAAATATTTGCTGTCATAGTCGTAACTTTTTAAGAAAATCATGTCAGTGTCAGCATGTTTTGGAGGTCTTCTGCCCCCTAGTGGCCAGAGAAACATTTAATGCATCTTAAAGTAGCAGATTACCCCAGAGTTTAAGTTTATTAGCATGTCTTTTCAAATTGTGAGGACCACACAAAGCACAATGAGCTGGTCTTTGTGTTTTTCATGAAAGATTTCCTCCAAAGATTTCTCATTGCTAATGCTTTCCACGCAAATTGTGCACCCTTGTCAAAACGCAAAAAAAAGTCTTATGAGGTAGATATTGGACTTTCAAACACCTACAGTCCAATTGTACAACAGCATGATGCACAAGCTGTTTGAATGTTGATCAGCGACCAATTTCATTACCTTTTTGTAACTTTTAGAGAAAGGCACATTGTCTTTAGTATTTGGATGAAGTCTAAAATTGAAGTTGGTCTAAGAAAATATGTGTTTTGTTGCCTCTGCAAAGTCCGAAAGATCCCCTACAGACATGTATATGAATAGTCTGTGTGTGTTTTTTCCCCAAAAAAAGCATAACTTCCACATTGACATCCTTAAAAAGGCATCTACTCCTTCCACATCATTTAAAATTCCAGAATCTTTGAATATGCAAAAATTATGTATTTCTAGTTTTCCCGCTGGATACAAGATGAGGCCTTAAGTTTCTACATCAGTCTTGTAGAAGTTGCATACTTGACAAGGCTTGACTTCCAAACTATTTGTGATGTTACAAGTAATGCTCGTAGGCCTCGCCCCTTGAAATTAGGTTTTAAATGAGCGCTGAGAAACTTTCATCCACTTTCAGCAGATGAATGTGAAAATATCCTTTTAGAGTCAAACGTCGCTCATACGTCACTCTGCACAGTGAAGCTCAAACATCCAACAAGGAACCAGAAGACATATTTTTGCGCGGAGGGGGACTAATGTAAGGGTCAGCAGTCACCAGAAAATAAATGAGATTTGATTTTATGTTCAACCATACCCTCTAAAATCATTGCATAGTTACTAAATGTAACATTCCCCTCCAGCTTCCCATAATCCTCACCTGCATACTGAGTGATATGCCCTCCCTGTCAGACAGCAGTTCTGCCAGGTTTTTGGTACCGAGTACATTCCTCAGGGTGGTTTGAGCCAGCAGTCGTGTAGATGAGTGTGCGTTTGACACATTGGCCACAGATGAGATGGGGCAATGTATACGGAAATACACCACGCCGTCCACAGACACTGTCACTGAGTCTCTGGTTAGGATCTGTAAGGTAAACCATGGTGTTTTAATCACCCACGAAAATGATAGGGTTTTTTTTTTATTAATGACAGAGATAAGCTGTGATACAGGGGAGACACCAATTATACTCCCACTTTTGATGTAAGTAAATGAAGAAAAAACGAAAACAAAAACAAACTTACCTCTTGTGGAGGGATGTCAAAAGACACAGTTCTCAGATCGACCTTCACAAAGTTATCAGTGCATGGCAGAACAAAGAAAAGTCCTGGAAAGAAGTCAAGACACTGCTTTTATTTTTTGTAACCATCACATTCAACGGGTGATTTTGACATCAAACACTGTATAAGTTCTTGCTGAATGTAACAGGACAAAATAAAATAACCTGGCCCTTTAGGTTTCCTGTCTGTGATCCGGCCGAGTCTGAAAATGACAGCTCGCTCGTACTCCTTCACTATCTGGATTTTAGAAACACCGCCAGCCATACAGAGGACGAGAAAGACCAAAAACAAATTAGCTTAAAGGGAAAACAATATCTGGTATCTACTTCTTATACGATGTGGTTTCTGTCAGACAGCCACATGTCCTACATCTGCATATTTCATTGATTGGCCAATAATTCTTTTTGTAAATAAAAAGTCAACTCCCTACAACTGAATAGATTCTTTAAAACCAATATGTGTAGAATTGAAACATTTAATATTTTGGTGCCAGTGGTATACAGCAATGCACCTGTGATGAATAAAGTGAAAACTGCATGGTGTATAATTTTTATACAAACAAAAACATGTCATCAGAGTCATTTGAACAAGGCTGTAATCACATAAAAGTCTCCACTAGCTTTAAAGAGCTACTAACCTATAAAAACACAGAGTCCATAGAGAGGAGGCAACTACATGATCTGCGGCTCCCAAATAATAGAAGAATTACATTTCTGCATCACAAATGTGCTTCACTCAGACAACTTATAAACCATTTAGAAGTCTGACTGGTGGACCTTGTTAAAGGCCTTTCTGACCTGCCAAAACTTCATAAGAGAAACTGTTGAAACTTTGGCTTTCAAAACTAAAGAGTCCTAGCCAGTTGAGTACATCAATGAGAATATACTTCACCTTAATACACATAAATAATGTGAGTGGGAATGTTACTGCAACAGTGAGGAGGGATATGAGGACCAACAGCCAACCGCAACATCCCAGTCCCCCAGAGTTTTTATCTGTAGAGAGAGTGAAAAATACGGAGAGGCACACTATTTTGCATATTTTCCATGGCACTTTTGTTCCACACTTGTGAGCATTTGAATCCAGACCAAAGGATGCTGTAGTCATTAAGTTTACACAATTAAACTGTAATATGATCCAGTGGGACAGAACGTTTTATTAAAGTTGACACAAAACATTCATACAATCAAGCAGTGGGAGATAGTATATCCACACGTCTCATTTGTCACTAAGGATGTAATTAATCTCTAGGGGGAAGTCACGTAACTTCAAAACCCCATGAGTGAGTGTTGTGTAAAGGTACTGAACTATTGATATGTCATCCATAGGTGCTTACACTGTAATGGAAATGTCTCCTTAAGTTACAGAGAGGATGTAGAGAGGAAAAAAACTGTCTAGTCGTAGTGTAAAACTCTTTCAATTAGTGGGTTGCTGCTTACTATTTCCATTATCTTTAATGTGTTAATTGATCTATTTATCAGTTCCATAAAGACTTAGTCTATGAATTGTCAAACATAGTAAAGAAAATATGACATATTATAATGCAGTAGCTTTGTTCATCCATTTCTGATCATTTAAGTCTTCTATGAAGGAAAAATGCCAAAGATTCTCTAATTCAAGCTTCTCAAATCTGAGCCTCTTTTCTCTGCTTTATCTTTGTAAATGGAGTATATATAGGTTGTAGACTGAAAAAAAAGCTGCTGCATTTTAAGATGCTGCCAAAACAATACACAAGTGAGGTTCACATCTGAAAAGCTGGGACTGTACAATGTAGACCTAGACCAGAAAGAGAGATGCATCACTATCTCTGTTTTTGTTTTGTTTTGTAATTAACCCCTGTATGTTCCCTCTGTATGTTTTTAAGTACAAGCCTTTACATACGATCTCTTGAGAAAAGTGAACACATGGAATGACATGTATTATGTATTAAGCTTCAATAAAAAAAAAATCTGATCAGTATTCATTTGTCACGGGAAGAGACTGGTGAGCTAGGCTGCCAGCCAATCAGGAATGATGCTTTATGCTCTAAACAACCTGTCTCAGTGTAGGTGGGATCTCTGGTAACTAATGTCGTCATCGAACAATTTTGCATTAAAGAAAATGTCACTGTGCTTAAGACATACAATCCTTATTTATTTATATTAAATATTTCTGGAAAAACTTTGTTCAGTTAATTAATTTCTTTAGAGTATTTTGCTGTGCATTAACTTTTCAGTTTCTTCTTTTCAAATCTTTCAAAAAATTGTAGGTGTAACTTTGTATTATTATTGTGTAAAATTATATGACAATTAAATTGTGTAAGATACATAATAATAATAAGGAAGATTAAAAGCAAAAAAGACCAAATGCTTTATAGACAATAAAAAAAAAAAAGTAGTGTTGTGTCAAAATATTCAATAATATAATATAACAGGATTAAATTGTTTTTGATACAGGTCCCAGGTCCCATAAAAACAGCACACTTTGGGCCTTCAAAGCAATATATTTTATCCCTGGCATGTTCACCCTGAAAAATTCACACAAGTTGTTAAAAAATAAACATTTCTAATCTAATACACTCACTTTTTAAAAGATCACAAAAAGAATTTACCTTCGACATTGTCCACGGCGTTGATCTGAAGTTTACCTTGTGTAACCATCTCAGCCGTGCTGGACGTTGTTGAGATCATTAGTGAGTATGTTGTGTGGTGATGGAGCGAGTGAAGCAGCACTGCAGTTGTTTACCTGTCTGTTCTCCCTGAGGGGTGTGGCCTGTTCCCCTCCCATCCCTCCTCACCTACTGCTTTACATGAGCTTGACACACACACACACACACACACACACACACACACACACACACACACACACACACACATTTACAGATAACTTCCACTTGGTGTGTGACTCTTGGACTCACCTAATAGGTGCTAGCAGGTAACATGAACCATAGAGCCTGATCAGCCTCTATGTGGCTCCTGTATTAGAAAGCTTAAAGTTCAGCTCTTGTGCTATTCAATTATACTCTTACATTCACATCCAGCAGTCTGACACCTGTTGAGTGCAGGTTATGAATAAAGAATAGGTGGCATCCAAGTCGTGAAACATGAGTGGTGCAGGCACAATAAGATGTGATCATGCTCATGTTTCCTGTCCCTTAAAACTGAAGTTTACCCACATATCAATGCACAAAATCGAGGAATTGTGAAATACACAGAAAAGCCTGTCAAAGGCAGAAAGGAATGTGCAAGTAATTTACCAAAGAAATTATACCTAGTATATTTTTATTTATTGCAAATTTTAACAGTGGAATTGTGTGGCTGAGAGTAATGTAGATACATAACTACAGAATGAAGAACAGCCTGACTTCGCAGTGTCTTCTATCATGTGAAGCAGTACAGGACACTGTGTGTGTGAGCTACAGAGTCATAAGAACAGACCTGAGGGCTGCTTGTTACTGCCATTTTTCAGTGAGGTCCCTTTAATCAACTGTCACATGATACTTGGTCACATGACAACCAGCTCACTACAATACATGATGAGTGCATGTGAATCCAGGTTCAGTTGGGCACAACACTACACACAACAGGCTGACTTTGCACTTTTTTTACAGTTTAAAATGCAAAAAAAATATATTTTTTTTTTTTAAAGTTTAAAAATCAGAAAAGAAATCTACATATGTGTACTCAGGCTTTTGGGAAGGTCAAATATATTGTATATTCCATCATGTGAGATTACTCATAATTCCTAGCAGTCGCAAGTTATTTCCAAAAAGAACAGAGAGAACCATTTTCACTGCATGTTTTTTTTATAATCTGATCTTTTCTCGGATTTTTGCAGCTTCACTTTGATTTGTCCAATTTTCAACAGTTTGTTTATATCGAATATATAGTTTCTCCAAAAGTGGAAAATGGTGAGCATTTAGTCTAGTTAACAGAATTTGTCTTAAATGTCATTGTTGGCATGACTGAGCAGAAAGAGCTGAGCTGCTTATACTGCCTAGAGGGGAGGGAGGGCCGTTCATGTGCTCAGTAAACTAGAATTACTACCTCACGGTTATATGCCTCACCCAACAAGTCAAGTTGCAGTTCACATTCATATCTGTCCAGGCTTATATAAGTGAAGACTTTTTCAAGTAGTTTAATAAAAGGTATTTAGTGTTTTTTTTGGCAAAATGGAATTTATCACTATGACTCCAGTGAATAATTTCCAGTGAGAAACATGCTGTTTTCACATAGAGGCTATTTTTACAGAGGAGCACAGAGGACTGATAGAGAGCTTCATCACATGGTGCAATGACAATCACCTCAAGCTCAATATCAACAGAACCAATGGGCTCGTGGTGGACTACAAGAGGAACAGGAGGTTCCCTGTCCTGGTTTTCATCCAGGTAGAGGAAGTGAAGAGGGTGGACTCATACGAGTACCCTGGGGTCAAAATCAATTTAAAAAAAACTTGACTGGACTGACAGCACTGAATCCATTTTCAGGAAGGGACACAGAAGACTGTTCTTCCTGAGGAGACTCATGACACACAATTGATTTTACTTGACTTTGTTGTTCTAGTTCTGCTGTGTTGTGGTTTAATTTTTCTTGTCTCAATACACCTAAATTGATGTCCATCTAACTCAAACATTTAGCTATCTGACTATAGTGAGAGACCAGAAACTCCCACTGAAGGTACCCAGAATGGTGACACAGACTCACAGAAAGCAAAGAGAATTGACAGATATATTTGCATCATACAGGATACAAGCAAACCTAGTTGCCCTAGGATACAACTGACTTGAACAAAGAAAATCACTCTATTATATGTCTCTTTCCCAAAGAATGCAGCCTTTTTCCCAAGGATGTCTATTGGTGACATTTAATTTCTGATAAACAGTAGTCATAACACATCTGATGCCCAATTGTTCCTGCTGAACAATCCACATATAGTATGATATCATAGTACATAAAGATTACATGAATTGGTTACATAACTGCATTTAAATGTCTTCTCCCTCATGCTACTTCCCGAGCCACTTAAGGTGATTATCTATATAGCAGGATATCCTTTTTCCCATACAACTTAGATATCAAGCAAGCAAATAACATACAACAATGATAACAAGATGTAATTAAAGCATTGTATATTTCATATGAGTATTTTTACATACATTAGAGAGGCACCCCCAGGAAGAGGTTACTAGCACTTTGATGCAAGGGGGTTTCGATCTGACCCTCATTTGTCAATCAGGGTGTCTGAATGTACCATAGATTTTGCATATTAAAGTTCAATGTTCCCTTATTCAGGACTCAATTTCAAACATAACTTCAACTTTTATGCTTGTTTCAACGATACCTTCTCATTTTACATCAATACAAACTTTAAAATGAATGATATACAGTAAATGCCATTGTGTCTAAACATTGAAAAACCCTGTGTTACATTTCTTGATTAGATGATAGATTTCCCTTCTTCTCTGGTAATAATAAAGTGAGTACTGTGGTCCTAACTTATTTTACTTGTAGCAGTGCAACTTATCACTGTTTTGTGGTATTTGCAATGTCACATATTTTATTACCGCCCTTCTACCTAATCAGCGGTGTCGTCAGGAAGGTTCCCAGTGGCTCCTTTGACCTGTTTGAACAAAAGCTCATGCATGTTTGTTAGTCAATGGACTCAGCTACCCATTTCTTTCATTAGCAAATCAAGTGGCAGACCCTTATGGGGTCTTCTCAAATGCTTAGATGGGTTATTATGTTAGTATGCATTCTTTTTCTCATTGGCGCAAGCTGCAATGCAGTCACCCAGTCCATCTTAGTTTCCCTGCAGATTTTCCTTTAACTCTTTTCATTAGGTCCTGTGATTGGGAACGACCCAGCCTATGTTTCTTGATCCTTTGTGATTGACATACATAAATTGTTGTTGAATCTGTCAACTTTAGTTTGTTTTTTGTACAGGTTTTGCTTTGCTTGAAAGGGCCACCTGGTTTTCTGATATGTTCTGCGCATAGTTCACATGATTATATCAGTTTTTAAACTGTAGCAACCATGTACCATGTCCCCCCCCCCGCAACGTGGGATACACTGTGTGCATCAACAAACAACTGTGGTATCAAAGATGCAGGTGCCACCAACAACCCTGTGGCAGAACAAAAAGCGTCTAGTGGAGCAGTCTTTAACAACTCCCCTGTCAAACCAAAGTTGTTGCTCCTCTGCAGTCGACTGTACCTCAGCCAGAACACGCAATGAAATGGTAGAATCGCCACCGTCATTGTCAACATCAGGTGTGGTTTTTACTAACATCACCCCATGGTACATTAGTGTGGGCAGGTGATTGAGGTCTGAGAATGCTGCTGTCTGTTTAGCAGCCTCATGAATGTTGCTGCAAAGAAGCTACAAATTCTAAAACCAAGAGTAATGGGGGTAATCAAGTTACTTAACTTACTTAACAACATAATGAAACTTGAATTATGTTACTGATTACATTTTGAAATGTAATTGTATAGGCTAACATTTTTAAAGTAACTTTCCCAACCCTGGTCCCATTGAAGTTGAAATTTGAACTTTTGGATATAATCTAAATAGCAGCTACATTTCACAGCAGTTACTTTACTGCCCATCAGGAAACTCTGTAAATCCCAGAGAGTTGAGGCAGAGCAGCCAGAGGACATCAGAGAGAAAACCAGAAAACATCTTGTCCACAAAATATGAAAGTTACAAAGTTATTAGAACAGGAAGTGCAGAGTGGGAATGACAGAGGCACCATTCACCATATTACAGGTCATAGTGAAGCATTAAAATGATTTTGAAGCTGTTATTTTAAGGTAGAAAAGTTATATAATGGGTCTCTAAGTATTACACAAGACTCATGGATGTTAAGAACTATATTTTAAATTACTGTGGTCAGCACCTTAAATTTGATATTGAAATACAGCCATACTCAAAGCATCAATATCTGGATAATTTACTTTTCTTTCAAGTTCAATCAAACACCAGGACACAAAGAAACTCATTTTAAAAATTTAACAAGACCAGGCAGTGTTTTTGCAGAATACGTCCTTCGAGTGTAAAGCTCCGCCACGTCAGGCACCAACTGTGTCCATCATAAACTTGCGACTGAGCTCATAAGCCAGGAAGAGGGCTCCATTGGCAGGGAAGGTGCGAATCATGGTAGGAGTCAGGCCAGAGTACAAAGCAGTGAACCCTGCGGGACAAGAGAGAGTAAAAGAGCTACACAGGTCATTCCCCACATATGAGTCAGGACCCGAGCTTGAGCCAGTTAGTAACAACATGTGTGCGTATTCAAATAGTCCGACCAGCAGTGATGCAACTAGTTTTCGGTGCAATTAGACTGAAAACTTCAGCTACCCGAATAGGCCCTACATTTGTAGTTTTCTCAGATTTTATGTTGATAAGATACATTACACAAGTTCACATTAAGGTTCTGACATGTGATTATAGCGCCCTCCCAGCTTCATTTGTGTCATGTCAACAGATATTTACAGAGTCAAACTTTATCTAACTAATGCACTTCTAAAGAAATTATGAGACCCGTTCTATGCACACTGAGGCAAAGTTACTCTGTACATCTCCCCATCATGCCAACAGATGGTGCAGATGGCGAGGCATGTGGCTGTGACTCAGTACATTAAGCATGCAGACTGAGATGGGATGTACAGTTATAGTCAACTAAATGGGCAATTCAGGTCAGACTGTAGTTTTGTCTACAGTTTACAGAGAATAGTGGAATAAAAATATCCCTTCAGAGGCTGCTCTGATCTGAAACATGTAAAAAAAAAAAAATACCAGCTCAAGTGCTTTCATCTCTTACTCTTCAATCGATGTTTCAGCAAATCCCTCTCAGTGCTTCGACTTCAACTTCCCTGGGCGCTTACACTTAAATAACGCATCAACTTTATTCAGGGCTTAATCTTGAACTGAATCTACAGCTTCTTTCAGGATTTCCATTGTAACCATCTGCCACTTCAACTTCTTTCAGTATTTCAACTATTTCAAATGTTTCATCTGCCAATTTCCAGCAGCGAGCAGACATACATTTACTTCAGAAATGTTGCCTTCTTTTTTATTTTATTTTCAATTGTTTGTTTATTTCAATTGTTTGCATGTCCTGCACATGTTGTTACATGTGCAGGACACCCTTTATACTGTACATAGGCTACTAATATTCATATATTTAATTCTTATGCACTAGTGTTTTCATTCATTGTCAGTCTTGCTGTTTGCTAATAAAACAACCCTATCTCCTTCAGGGCTTATTCTCATTTCTGTTTTATTTATGAACATTTACTGGCACCACCAGCAGTTGTGTCTCTCCCATCCTCTCTTTCTGTCAAAAACGACAAAGCAGCAACTGCCTGAGAGGTATATTCTGTCACTATAGAGAGGTCGGTTATTTCTAAACTCATTATGAACAGAGTGGGAGTCGCAGGTTTTGACAGCACTGTTCTCTACTGAACCAAGGTTGCTCACAAAAAGCCTAATTATACAGTGGCTGTCCTTCAAATTACATGGTCACGTGATATAAACCAGTCTGTGCTCCCTTTTTTCTGTAAAATGTGTGAACTGTGCTGTTGAGAACCCATCTGGGTCAATTACAATTTTGAAATGTATGTTCAGATCTTACCCTCAGTGCGTATGATACCCATGAAGGTCTTCATGAAGCCCTTTTGATTCCCAGCTAATGAGTAGACCTGGATCCTGGACTTCACACAGTCTATGGGGTAGACCATCAACCAAAGACAAGCTCCCCCAAATCCACCGCTGAACATGAGTGGAAGAATACCTGCAAAGACGAATATTATTTTGTGGTAGCAGGTCAGAGAAAAATCATAAACTGCAAAAATGCCTGTTAAATATAAATAGAAAATAAAATAACCATACCTATGCTGTCCTTGTCCGTACCCTTGTACTGTGCAAATTTAGACCGACACATTTCATAGGCTCCAAAAAAGCAGAAGTAACCTGGTATCTCCCTCACAATGGTGGATGACCATCCTTGGTAGAAACCCAGGGGACCATTTTTCTTCAACACTGTCTTCACTACTGTCCACATTGTGCTGTAATCAAACCACAAAACACAGTCAAAGGTGTATCAACTGAAACTAAACATCTTCTGCTCATTCCAGTATCACTTTTTGGTCCCCCTGACCTTCTCTGTCCACTTGCAATCTTGCCAGCTGCTTCCATTTCATGCATGGCCTGAAGGCGACATTTCACCAGCTCGGTGGGGCATATCGCCGTGGCGGAGAAGATGGAGGCTAAAGACCCTGCAGATGCCTTCTGAATGTCACTAATGAGCAATGAAAAAGAGCACAATAGAAGAAACAATAAGGGGAAAAGAAAAAAACAATTACTTCCTATATCTACCACAAATAAGAGGTTCTTTGCTCTGTTGTAGTCTGCTGACTTACAAATTACCTCCAAAATTCATTGCACTAAAAGTACAAGAAACATGTACTGTAGTTCCTCATCAGATTTTATGATAATGTCTCTCTCTCATCTCTCTACGGTATAAATCAAAGTATCAACACTTGAGGACATAATCAGGTGTAAATAAAACTGTGAGCTTCAAGAAGAAAAACAATCTTCTCTTTAAAACCAGTGAACTATCCAGCAGCTAAAATACAGATGGAAAATGCTCTGAGTTGCACAAAATGGGGTATGTTCTCAGAAGTCAGTGATTCATCTTCCCAGCAGTAACTTCAATACTTGTATCTTAATGACATCAGTGCTACTATTCAAATTCACAATATGAAAGTGGTCTGTTAGAAAATTATCTCTGTTATTATTCAGTCCATTGTTTAGTCCTTAAACAGTCCCCAAAATATATGAAATTTACAATGAAATAAAATTATGACCCAATTATGATATAGCTTTACACAATAGTGTGTGCTGACCTATGTTACTGCAAAAAGGGTGTGGATTGAGGAAGCAGCAACTCATGGAGGACAGAAAGGACATGTGGGGGTGACAAGATTTGAATTCCTTGAATGTCTACATTAGCAAAAAAAAAACGTATTGGTAAGACAATTCTAAGATGTCATACTGATGGCCTGGAAACTTGGCTAAAGAACTACAGTCTTTGTTCATATTAATATTTGTTATGTAATACAATACTGATATGTCAAAATGTTGCTCACCACCACAGCCAATTCTGGAGCTTTATTATGAATAAACAAATAAATACACAGAAATGTGCCTTGAAAGGTGTCAAACCTGAGATTGGCCCCTTTATCCATACTGGACACAAAGCGGACCGCATCCTGGCAGAGACCATAACTCAAGAAGAGCACGGCGTTCTCAGTGATGTTGGCCAAAAGGGCCGGGGTCGTGCCTTTGTAGAAACCACGTAGTCCTGCCTGCCTGAAGGTAGACACGAAGCAGTGGGTGAAGCCACGGTACATTGTGGGGAACGCTTGCATCTTCACCTTTGTGGTATCAAACGGCTGACCGCTCAGCACACAGGCTGTACCACCTGAGGAAGGATTTCAAGAGACGTCTTTGTGAGTTTCAATACGAGAGATAAAACCGATGCAATGACTTATCAGAGCAGAAGTGGCAAAGGAAAGTACGGGGAACTGTGTATATATATTGTCATGCTTCCCCAGATAGATCCACATCAGTACACAGACCCACAGTAGTTGCTGGATATGACTTTGTAGAGACATAACTGTACACTTTACAAACTATTGCTGCTGACCTCGTGACTCTCCCTCAACAAAGCCAACATTTTCTCCTACCCATAAATAGAGGAAGAATGCTATGGGACATCCTCGATAATGGTGTTTTAGTACATACTGAAGCTTTATTTTCTTTTTTTTATGAAACGGTAGATTGAGAGGCAACAGTGGAGGTGAGTGAAAACCCAGGACCAAAAAGTTATTATGCATCTGCATTGTGTTAACTTGGATTAAAGTTAAATCATGATTAATAATTTTTCATCATAGATATACAGTAGATAGATCAGAATCAGGTTTATTGCCAAGTAAGTTTTCAAACAGGAGGAATTTGCCTTTGTACAGTGGTGCAAAAGAATAACAATGAAGCGTAGAAAAATATAAATAAAGATAAAAAGATAAAAAATAGGGGCAATAAAAATGCAATAAAAATACACAAATAAAATATGTAAAATATACAAAATAGCAGGATATACTTAAATACTACTAAATAGGATAGACAGATAGACAGATAGATAGATAGATAGATAGATAGATAGATAGATAGATAGATAGATCTCACCTATTGCTCCGGCTGAGAAGTCAATGATTGCCTGGATCATGGGCTGTGTGGCCATAATGATGATAATGAACCTGAAAATATCAAAACAACCTTCATACTTCATTTTTTGGCACATACATACAAACACAAAACTGAAAGTAAATTAGTAATGCTAAATGACAAAAAACTACAATAAAGGAAAATAAAGCCTGGACACATTCCATGCTCACCTGCAGTCTCCTCAGTCTGCTGCTGTTTATCACTCGGGTTGATCTTAATCTTTCCCTCAAGAGCAGCAACAGTAGAACGTGTATTGTGCTACAAGCTATCAGCACGTTGCTCTATATGGGCAAAAGATGAGTCTGACCCTGTCAAACACACAGACTCGCATACACCCTTAACTCGTGGTAAGTTTCCATATGAGCATCTCATTTCACAGAATGAAACTAACATTTTCGAGAACAGAGGGCAGGATTCGAATTTCCTTTTAATTCAGCCATGCTTTTTAATGTGCCTGTAATCTCACTGTACTTCCGTTTTCTTAGCAGCTTCTTGTGAAATCTATCGGCGGATTGCAACAAGTTGTTCCTGCCGCGCGTAAAGGGCGCACTTTACGCATAACCAAGCGCAGGCGGAGTTGTGTCAAGCTATCCAGGGGAAACAACAGTAATACAGGAAACCATTTTTTAAAATCCAAAATGAAAGCATGATAATTAGGGGCATAACTAGGCTGCTACATCGATATGCTCTATGGACTTCCTGTCTTTGATACCACTGTTAAATGTCATGCGATGTGACTGTTGACATTGCTGAGAAAATTATTTAAAAAAAACAAAAAGAGCTCTCTATCCATCTTATCTTGAAGCTTTATTCAGTTAAAACGCATTAGGCAGTTGGTTTTATTTTGGTTGGTTTTATTTTTCTTTTAACAGGCTGACTCTGTAAACTGTATATCTCAATATTTTGTTTGATAGCTGATTAGTTAGAGTAACAGATAAATACATTTCATTAAAAAAAAAAACACACTGGTAGAAAAAAAAAAGAACCATGTGTTTTACAACCATGTGTTTTAGTGTGGTTTGAGTCACGCTGACTAAATGGAGAGTTCAATGCGGAAGAGATGAGATGCTGGCTGTGTCTAGTTGTAATACCTGACAATGGCCACAAGATGTCAATAAAGTCCATAGTTGACTGAGGACGCCCAAAAAAACAGCTTCAATCCAACAAACCACCGGCAGTCAACCTCCAACTGAGGACACTAACTGTTGTGTTGCATTGATTTAACTGTGAGGAGCCGCTCTTTCTTCGTTTCTTTCAAACAAAATATGCTTTAATCTTTTCTTAAAACTGTCTTTGTGTTTTTATTTTCAGAGTTATTATACAGAGTTAGTATTATTAGTAAAGATGTAACCTTATTTAGTATATCTATATCGCTAGTTTTGAGAAATTGTAGGTTATTTTTTGTAAACTCTGTCCTTTAAATTATTATATGGTTTGAACATTGGCTGTATAGCAAAAGTAGTAGTACACTTATCCATCTTATCCTTTGGTGGATAATTAATTTAGAAACTTAAAACCTACTCATAATGAGTAATAATACAGGGTTGCTGTCTCAATGAGTTGCACGGGATAAAACATGACCATCAATATCAGATGGCAGATGACCAAAACAAATATTTAACCCTAAATAATTGATGGATTGGGCTAAGTGAGAGGATATTTTCACATTAATTCGCTTCGGTTTTATCAATCAACGAGGTGACAAAAATACAGTGTTTTCATTCATACAAACACAAGAATAGATGCAAGATACAAGTACTATCTTGATCTCACGTGTAAAACAATCGGTCACGATTCATTTTTAATAAACTACTGTTGAGCTGGGTAAAAGTTCAGTATTTTTTGTGCTCTTCAGACACGGTGTTTACTAGACGAAGGAATGAAAACAAGGACTATTTTTTTGGGTCCAACTCTTTCGACGCTGTCCATTGGCGGTCTCCTGCTGTCAATCAAGAGTGGGCGGTGTCAGCTGACAAATGATAGTTCCAGTAAGTCCTCACATGCTGTACAACACAGAGTCAACAGGCTGTTCGGGGCGCAGACGGAACATCACTACGACTGGATAACAAAAACAAACCAGCGGGTCAAACACCCTGTGGACACTTAGACAACCTTTTTTTTTTCTCATGAAAGGCCTTTTTGGAAACATACTTTTTTATTGTTGTTAACACAGATTTCTACCGGCTTGGGATGTGACTTCCAGTGTAGTGACTTTGCGCCCAGGCGGAGCACTGTTTTCCCGGACAATTTTGTCTTGTGTTCGCTCACATTTCAAAGGCGAAGTTGCTACTTTTAAAGGGTCGACAGGTTCGTCACATTTACATGACATTGTAACACTTGTTGCTCCGTCACCTCTCGACCATGGCGGAAGCGGCCCAACAGCCACACCTGGTGGAAATCGACCCGGATTTTGAGCCCCTGTCGCGGCCCCGGTCGTGCACTTGGCCCTTGCCCCGGCCGGAGTTCATCAACCCGGGCGACTCCAACACGTCCTCGCCCGTGCCGTCTGTGAAGCAGGAGCCCGCCGGCAATGCCGACTTCATCAACAACCTTAGCCTGCTGGAGGAGACCGAGGACTTCACGGAGCAGAAGCCTGTCATCCTGTGCACTGATTTCCAGTGTCAGGAGAACTGCGTCCACCAGCAGCCTCCACAGCAGCAGCAGCAGCAACATCAGCAGCAACATCAGCAGCATCAGCAGCAGCACCCGAACCCGCAACTCCCGCATCATCATCATCAGCAACAGCAGCAGCAGCAGCAGCAGCAGCAGCAGCAGGTGCCTCTGCTCTCCTCCCCGGTCGGATCGTCGTCCACGGCGGCCGCAGCTGCCGCCGCTGCCCAGAGGAAGAGCAGCTCCTCCCGGCGAAACGCGTGGGGGAATATGTCATATGCAGACCTCATAACCAAAGCTATCGAAAGTTCTCCTGAGAACCGACTAACTCTGTCTCAGATTTATGACTGGATGGTGAAGAGTGTGCCTTATTTTAAGGACAAAGGAGACAGCAATAGCTCTGCAGGCTGGAAGGTACGTTTGTGTTTGTTTTTCCTCTTTTGGTACTTTCGTCCAGGAGATACAGTGTGTGTGTGTGTGTGTGTGTGTGTGTGTGTGTGTGTGTGTGTGTGTGTGTGTGTGTGTGTGTGTGTGGTGGGAGTTCACAGCATGGATGGCTTATGGCTGCTGCTTATGCCTGATAAAGCCTGTGCCAGTTCTTGTACAAAGTTTTCCAGTGGGGCGTTTTGGTATGGCTGTGGTACTTTAACAGTGGGTTCACAGTGACTTCATTGTGCTTTATGCTATGTTTTTATCTCCTGTGGTATCACTGTAATATCCCTCCAGGGATTTCTGGCTTTTCTGTGTTGTTTAATAGTCAGTTTATTGTGACTATATAATGCTTTTTGGTTAGGGATGTTTATTTGTCATCTCCATCATCTATGGTTATCACTGTTGCATCTCCTGCAGGGACTTTTGATATTTACATAGGGTCCTTAATTTTTTCCTCAAATGTCTCTTGACAAAAGAGCATGCATGATGAGTTAAGTAACTGTGAAATTGTTTATCATTTGCTTGTGAAACCGTGTCCCTCTTCATTGCCATCCATCCAATTCATGGCACTTCAGTAAACTGACCAATTGCTACCATGACCTTAGACAGTCATCTGACTTCTCCCTGCAGTATGTGATTTATATGAGTCTGCTGACTCAACAGGGTTTTTTTTCTTTTTGCCTTATTGCTTCCCTCAATGTGCTGCTCAGAAATTCTTTGAGTTCTGGCTCCATGTGATTGAGACAGCTCTCTGCTATTTTAAAATGTTTGATCGATTTTAGGGCTAAATCCCAGTTTTCCGTATTAGAGTGTGCGCCTTGAACGAAGCTGTGTTTGGTCTGTGTCTTAAGGAGATACCAGAAGCATTCATGTGTCCTGGAGACCATCCAAAGCATTACACAAGAGGGGACTTTAAATTTCTGATGTGGTGTGACAAGCCCTCCCACTGAACACTATTGAAGGGCGTAAACCTCACTTTGGAGACACATAGTTTCAGTGGTGTCTGACAATAAATTGATGACAGTCTGCGCTCCAAGTGGGAAATCATATTGAGCGAGTAGACACACAGTGAGAGATTTATTACCGCTTCCCTCTGTTATAGGATGTCTGGGTTGCCGATGAAATTTAAAGCAGTTGTCAAGTGTTTTTTTCATTTATTTTTGTTCTCCTTTGTTTCTTCCCCCTGTCAGAGGAGGCTCCCATGTTTGAGTCATGTGCTGAGAGATGACACACTCATGTCGGTCACAAATGACAGCAAGAATTTCTTGTTTGGTTGTGAATCACATAGACGGATATTTAAAAAAACCGACCTATTTTACCACATACATTTTTTTTTTTTAAAGCTGACTGGGCACAAATGTCGTTTTCAGCAACACCCTGCTCCATATTCATCCATTTGAATTCAGTGTTTACAAAAGGCACAAAACTCGTGTTGAGCTGTCAAACGTAGTCCAGTCAGTCAAATTATACGAGTGGAAAAACCCCCTTCGGTGTGGTGAAATACACACAGTAAACAAAGCAAGCACTGGGCAGATGTGTTGCTAGGGTAGTGATGTTGTCCAAGTAGGTTTGGTCCTTTTAAGGAAAAGCAACGTTGTGCTCGTCATATGCCTTGGTACCTTTTAAAAGCTTCAACATCTGTCATACTCTATGGCTTTTGGGATTTGTATGTAAAATGTTCTTTTCTTATTACTCAGTTAACCATAGTGGCACGCATATCAAACTTTGAGTGTATGTGTGTCTGGTATGGACATCAATATAAGAATTTGCTCACCTTTAATAACATTTCTTGCTTGAAAAGAGCAAAGATGTTGTTTCCCAATTAGCAGTAAACAACACTCGTCGAACAAATACTACTAAGAGTGATGCATCCATGTGGGAAAATACAACTGAATACATCTGCGAAGAGCCAGGGATAATGTTCAGTAAGTTGGTGGATGGGGATCTGAATAAAGAATCCATAGGCAGTGTGTGGTAAGGCGACACCTCAAAACACAAACACCCACAGAGTGTTATTCACTTGGAGTCTGACGTTGCGGAGTATCAGCAGTGAGAGAGAGAGAAAAAGGTGCTGTCGTTGACGTTAAAAGACAGGATAATCTTTCCCGTTATTATTTTTTCCTTTGATGAGAGAGCACACTTTACACTTCTCCCAGTGTCAGCAGTGGTACCAGCACCTCAGTGACCATGAAACACAGCAGTAGTGAACACCTTCCCACTGATACTCACTGGTTACAGTGTAATTAGGAAGTTATTGTATAGCAGAGTGTCAGACAAGCAACTGTGAGTTAACTGTCCCCAGCATCATTACCTACATTAGTAGATCATTTACATTTTTGTAAAGCATGCAACAAAGTCACCGTGACAAGGCCTGCGAACATGTCTTTGTGTATTCATTGATGTAGCTAAATAAATAGTGAAGCTTCTCTCAGCGCTGTTCCGTCCGTTTAACAGTTATTGTGTGATTGGCGGCTCGGAGAGGGGCGCTCAGCCACCGCCTGGGCTTGCTGCTTATCCTGCCATGTTGGGGGTGTAGACTGAGTAATACTGTGGGAAAGCAAAGTGCCATTCACTGCTGCGAGGGGAGTTATTCATAGAGCTCCCCTCGGCTCCACACAGGGGGGCTATCACACATTGTCTCTTCAGAGCGAGCTTACTTATGAGCCGGGGCGAGGGCCAGAGCGGAGCTGAGGAAAGATGACAATGTGTAGAATGGTAATTTTGTGGCAAGCCTTGTGTTTCTTTTTTTTTTTGTTGTTGTTTCTTCTTCAGTGATTTTAAGAGTACCTTTCAAACACAAGCTGAATTAAGAAATCAGTATTTAACTTGTTGATTTTCTTTCTTTCTTTTTATTTTGCGGTAAAATTCCCAAGTGTAGCTGTTTCATCTTCTGCTGCTTTGTTATGTGCTGTCTCGACTGAGGCGACATGACTGATTGGAAACATGAATATATGTAAATTGTGTGGCAGACCCCATTCCGAAGACACCAGCTTTGCAAAATTATCCTAGACATTCAAACAAAAGCACTCAAAACAAATGACCTTCAAGAGAGAATACAACAGTCAGAATCAGGAATATAAATGTCCTGTTTGTTAGTGGGTAGATTCATTGACTCAGTGTTAAGTCATATACAGGTTGAAGCTTGTGGTGTAAGACAGCGATCACAGTAACGGAAGTCACAACACAAATGTGTTTTCTTGACACCATTGACTGTTAAACACCTTAAAACACTGATCATAATTCACTTGCGTCTTTTTGAAGTTAACAAGGGATCCATGTGCCTGATCTCTCTGAGCAGACGAGGTTCACCTGAAGTGAACGGGCTGAAGCACATCAAGTTTTCATTAATCTATGATTAAGGCTGTCTGCTCTGTAATTGTTTGAGGCCTTGCTTGTTTCTCAGCGCTGCTGATCCTCCACAGTCGGTCGTGTCTGAACTGAGTCACAGACAGCCTCCACACTTCTCAGGCCGTCTGCGACAGTGTGAGTTTTGAGGACAGTTGTGCCAGGTGGGACCAGCTTGGAGAAGCTCTCAGAATGGACTGGACACTGGCCCTGGCACAGGACGCAATCCAACAGGAAGAAGAACAGATGGCACAAATTATGTATCATCAAACCTCTCTGCAGAGCTGGTTATTTATTTCTAATACGTCCCGTTCCCGTGTTTTTTTTTTTCTTCATCTCACTCCGAATGTTATTAATATATTAAGTATTACAAACAGGGTTCAGGGTGCAACACACACACACACCCACACACACACACACATTGCACACATGCATCTATACAGCGCAGTATATACAGTGTACACACATCCTTGCATACCTGCCAAAAATTCTGTTCTTTCTTGTATTTCTCTACTATACATACGTCACCACAGGATAAATATTTGGTTTCAGCCGGTGGAGCTGGATGGCTCAGGTGCTCTTTGATGTCGGTATCGGGATCAATTCTGTCGCAGGTTTTCTCTGTACGCCGCGCTCTCTTGACCTGAAATTCCTCAGCCTACGCTGGTAAACACTCCCACGGATCTCAAAACAAACCGCGGGAGCAGACAAACACGTAGGTCAGAGCAGATTGTACAGAAAGTGACACGAGGGTCATTACCATGTAAATGCCCCCATTGACTCCGATCCCTCTTAGTCTTACAGTAGGTATCACCGAGAGGAGAGGCTCAGCGCACAGGACAAGCATCTCTGTTTTGACTTCATAACCAAGTCATGGCTCCCAGGGACGGGCTGCTGATTGATATTCAGAATGCGAGTAGTGTTGTTTTAATTGAGTTACAATGACAGTATAAGGAAACCATCTGAATATGTGAGGCATTAATAACCTTCAAGCTCTACCGAGCTTTTTAAACTGCGATCAGCATCTATATAGCTTCCACTGTTGGTCGGTTTGTTGGTAGCCACACTTTCCACTCTAGGTGGCTGAAATTTGGCATTCAAGCTTGTGTGTGTGTGTGTGTGTGTGTGTGTGTGTGTGTGTGAATGCATGCGTGTACGTGGTCGCAGTTATTGCAGATGCTTGTTTTAACATAAACAAATAACAAAAACTATGTAATGATGACACTGTTTCTAAATGACCTCAAACCTACATCATTTTCTTTGCATTGAGTTTAGCTGGTAAAAGACAGGTTTCCAGAGATTGCCTTTTAATCTCGCCATTGACAAATAATAGAACCACTCTGCAGAATAGAACATGTGGCTTACAGAGACGTTACATTATGCAACTATCTTTCAGCTAAGATTACTCCGGCTTGGAGTTAGATATAAAATATTATAGATAAAATGATTAATTTTCAAAACATATTAACCTTATTAAAATTGTCAAGTTGCTGATTTGCAACATTGAACATAATGGAATAATACAACCAGAGACATCAAGGGGAGTGCCACATTAGTGTCAGCGGCATAGCACAATCTCCACCAGTTTACAGATTTCTGTTGTCTTGCGGTAAGTGTTAGCCAACTCTTCCTAAACA